TACTAGCGTCGCGTCTGTCCCTGCTGAGACTGGATAAACGGAACCGTTGCCCGAGTGCATGACCCCACGACGCGAAAATTTTCATTAAGAGCTTTTCAGCCCCAACAATGCGGAACGAAGGAAATGTCACTTAGGTGACGGAACTTCACTTAGGTCTAGTGGTGTCACTTAGGTGTCACTTAGGTCTAGGTGACGGAACAGTGGCGCTGTAATCTGAGGCATCGGCACAGCACTAGAAGTCACGCATAGCCGCAAATTCGGACCGCTTATAGTCAACAAAGTGAAAACATTGATAATTACCGAAGCAATCGCACTGTAATGTTCTCAACCAGGCATAACACGAAGCATGGAGCGGTTCAAGTCATAGCTTTCGCATTCCATTGACGAGAGACTCCTCTGATATTTTTCATCGAGTGCTCAGTTACGAGCTTCGACGGTGCGAAACCATCAAAAAGTGGCCGAATAGTTAACATACGGAACGGCGCAATCACCACACCGTTCCCTCTTGAAAAAAACAAATGCTGACAAAACACATAATAAAACACTGCTGCGGAAATGCGACACAACCCTTGTTCTGTGACCATACGTGATGTGTCTTGGGTTCGAAAAAACATTCACTTCCGAGGCGCACGGCAGACATGCCGTCTTTAACCTTTCCAAGCCCACAGTATAGCCGCATGGGTAATCTTAAGCCCCGTAAGAAGAATTGATGCTGCGCGATCAGAGTACCTATTGAAGGTAAGTACCCATTGTAGTGACCCCGAACAACACCGCCCGCCACTGACATCGCGCCGCGAGAGACATCATTACATAAACCCCCGCGTCCAGCGCACACCGCCGGCCTCCGGATCAAAACAAGCGATCTGTAACCATAAAGCAGAACATCGGTCCGATGTCGGCCGAGTACGCTATATTGCCCCGGAGAAGGATGTATTGGACAAAGCCGCGGCAGGCTGACCGCGGCTTATCCCGGGGCGAGGGCGGACGGCGCCGCGCCACCCACCTCGAACCAGCAGACGGAGACGCGGTTGACCATCTCCAGCAGCAGCAGCTCCGACGTCATCTCCATGGCCAGCGTGTAGTTCATGTTGCCCTGCCCGCCGCTGGCCACCTTCACCAGCGTGTCGACGTCGTACTTGGACAGGTCTCTGAGGGCCCAGCCAGACCCGTCACACACGGGTTGTCGTGCACGTGACGGCGCGCAGCGCGGTCACGGCCTCATCCCGAGTAAGCGCCATCTGATAGGGTCAGCGACAGGGCGACAAACTCGGCGCGCCCACACGAGTCCGTCGGTGGCGCCGTATCTTCGAAGACAAAATTGAATGTGGCTGGCTAATACATCACGCAAGAAGTTTGGCGCTTTGTCTTAACAAGATTGATGGCATTTAATAAGAATGCTTTCAGAGACCAATGCGGGATCTCACATATTTCGATTTTAATCTTACTGTCATTTGTTTCCTTTGAAATCATTCAACAAGCATTTACATTTTCGCGACTTCCATCTGCCCCACATAACTCATAACGGCCTGGTCAGTGGTCGTAGTGCCGGGTGGTTAAAACGGTTTCTGCGACTCTGAAACATAACTTATTGCACCTTATGCGTGGAGCATGGCGTGATATATCTCGAAAATGTTTCCACAGCTTTCACTCACTATAACGGAACCGCAGCCTTTAAGCTTAGCCCACCTATTTTCAGAACGCAATGTTTAAGCTTTTCCCCTTTAAGCTTAGCCCAACCATATCGAGAACGCGGTGTTTAAGCTTAGCGGAGAGGTAACTTAGCCCAACCATTTCAGAATATAACATAGGACTACTACATGGGTCATGAACTTGCCACTTGATACCTGAAGACAAGAACCACCGGACGAAACCAACCTAAAAACGTCGGCCGTCTTCCACACCTTTCAGAACACGTCCGGAGACCCAGATACGATAGCACAATCACGAGGCATCAATGTCAATACATTTAGGCGGGCATTGGGCACCATTAGGCGGCTTGCACACTGCCTAATAAATAGCACATAGAAAGGAACGGACAATCCATTACTGACAAAACACAAGCCACACACCTGTAGGACGCTGAACCGCGCATTCAAACAGACAAAATACTGGTAAGACGCTGACACGCGCATTCGAACAGACAAAACACTGGTAAGACGCTGGCGCGCGCGTTCAAACAGACAAAACACTGGTAAGACGCTGACCCGCGCATTCAAACGGGCAAACAGCTCAATCAAAACCTCGCTCGCCAGATCATGCCATCGAACAGAAAGCCCTTCGCAGCCGCGCGAGACAAACCAGGCACGCGATCCAGCTGGAAACTGTCTTTACTCAGAGCAATACCCGTGATCAACCAACAGGTCAGTGCGCAGGGACCAGCAACTGTTCCAGGTGAACATAAGGTTGTTAGAAGCATCTTTGTATTTGTTCTCTATCTTACAGAGAACATGAGCGATGACAACGTCATGATTCACCTAACACGACCGATACCACCAACGGGGACGATTTGCAATCATACATGAACGCAATGCATATTGCAATTCCCATTGAGTGATGGATTGTATACCTGTATGTTTTCAGGCTTCATTGTATACTTGAATGCTTCAGAAAAACCTTAAGTGCATACAAAAGCTGTCACATACTGTCAGCTGTGACCGTCGCTGAGCCATGCATTACTACGTACTTAGTTGCTTCTAAGCTTCAGTAATATGTGCATATACATTAAACGTGCTTCATTATGTATCAATACTGTTGCTTACAGTGTATATAAGTAAAATTAAAGCAAATCTTGTAAATGCCACACAACTAACGGCTTCACCATGTTGTTAGCACGAAGTGGAGCAACATAGAAAATCCCAAACACGTGTCAGCGGGACGACGCGGTCCGTGCTGCCAAATAGGCGCGGAAGCTGGCGCTGAGACCACCAGAAGGCAGTGCGCGCCTTGGAGGGTCCGGCTGTTGTTCAGCACGGGCGAACATTATCAGTATGGATGAAACGTGTCCCTGGCGAGACATTCCAACGTGTTTTCATTGAATAAATCAGGGCCGACGCGACCCAGACGCGCACGAGGAATCCCGCAACGAAAAACGCTAAAAAATGACGCAACAATAAGGATAAATCGTGCTGAAAGATGCATGACCAGATAAACGGCCTGCGGGAAATGAGGCAATGCGAACAGGAAATACGGCGGCGTGTCGACCGGGTACCCCCCCCCCCCCCCCACCCCTTTCTCCACCCTCTTCCTCCGCCGAAAGATCGCCCCTCTGCTTCGCCAGTATGATCGTCACACACGATCAGCAGGACTTACATCAGTTCGAACTGGTCGATGGCTATGTAGGCGAGGGCGAACTTGACGATCATCAGTATGAAGAAGTCGACCAACTCGGCAACCAGCCGCTTCCACAGCGGCGGGATGCGGAACTCGATACCTGTCGGGCGGCAGTGGAGTCCGCGCTGAATTGGCGCATAATTCCGCCAGAAAGCAGATAAAACAGGTTTGCTTCTCAAGGTGTGTTGAAAAGGACAGACGTAGTTAGGGGTTCCATCTGATATACAGAGCAGACCTGGCAACCATGCTTCAAAAGATGTGTTCACAGCTTTCTCATACAGCTCGCCTTCAAACCATGTTCAAACCTGCGCCGACTAATTCATTCAGTTTTAGTAATTCTGTGTAAGCATTGGCATGCAAAGCTAAAATACAATTTAACCTTTTCAGTGGGTTCAAAGGACATACAGCCCTGGTGAGCGATTTCGGAACTACTATCTTGGTCCGTTGTTCATAGGCGGTCCGCATGGGGAGGTGTCTGTGGGCGTACCTCTCTGCGGCTGGGCGGGTGGCGGCTCCCTCTGATTACCCAAGCCAAAAGGCTGTGGGCTGGGCTGTCGAAACAGAACACCACTCAAAAGTGGAAAACATGCATGTTAGCGATCCGATGACGGCTCGTGCAGCATGGAAGCCAGCGAGCCACCTACCGGATCATACGTAGTTGACGACATGGAGCAAAACGTCTCACCGCTCATAACAAAATTCATAGAACCAATACACTGGCATTTCGACAGCCGCCAAACACAGCTCCTACGAGCTGCGTATGGCAAAGCATACTCCATGAACTTCGCCTCTGCATGCGTGCGGTCCTGATGTCTCATCATCGACATCAAATCGCACCTGTATGATGAACAGATGATTAGACCTGGACCGCGTTTCACTCCGGCAGCGCCCGGCGCTTTAATTCGGACGGTGTTCCGATGACGCAAAGGTAACACACACGACGCGGAAATCGGGAGTAGGACAGCCTACCTCCCACCACACTGCCTCTGCCCCGGAAGACGCTCGCGACGCACCTGGTGCTGGGCCGTGCCGCTCGCCAGCTGCCTGGACAGCCAGAGGGGGAACATGGCCTCCATGCAGCGCGCCTGCTGCACCTGCGCCATCCAGGTGCGCAGGTCCGCGCAGTACTCCGACATGGAGGCGTACTGGCGCCGGCCCTGACCACCGGGGCTGGCGGCGTCCGGCGACGCTGACGCTGCTGCTGCCATCTGTTGATCAAGGGCAAAAGTCAAGGGCTATCCACTGCTCTGCACGGATTTCTGGCTCCTCGCTGGAAATTGGACATTTCAGTCGGACTGATGTAAATAACTCGTCTACATCGGTACGACTGAGCTGGTGCACCCACAGGTGCACCAGCGCCAGAAATCAACCAAAAATCCGCGAATCTCACTTTTTCCGAAAGTGATCTCCAATATACGACATGATCTGATCGTGATCTGCGCGTGATCCAGGCCCGGTAGCCAGCAGAGTACCACCTGCTTTCCGGATCAGGAGAGTGCCCTCATAACTCTCTTTGTGGTGAAAGCACACACATCTGCAGTCAGCTCGCTCGTCGGCGCCGCCAAAGGCGTCACACTGGCCAGAACTACCACACCAGTGGTGCTGTCCATAGCTAGGGTGCACCATGCAGACAGCTGCTGTGCACCAATCTTGCTATGTGTGAGCTGTTCACACCCTCAGTGATCACACAAGTCATGCCAAGGATGGCAGGCATGTGTTGCATCTGGGCCAAACTGAGCTAGCTCATTATTCTGGTCCACATGCAAACAACTGGCTCATGCTCAAATGTGTGATTACAAGTTTTTGCCCATGATGCGGTCAACATGATGGTTTGGGCCAGAGGAACTCAGATTTTGGCACAGTTTCAAAATGCTAGATCCAACATGCAATTATCTCCTTCAGGACAGAACATATGAAGTCAGCACCAGGACATCAACCCACAACTGTGCACACATATAGTGTACATGAATAAATAGTACAAAGGGGGCAGCAATGCCTTTCCTGTTATTTGTGTAAAGGTCCACCACAAAACCCTGATCTGTTCAGAACAAAAGACTGAAAATGAATCAAGCCTACCTGCACCATCCCCCTCATTATTCTGACATTCCTAAGCCACTGTGCATGGCCTGCTCAAACAGCAAGCCAGATCTTGCTTGATTACAAATAATAGAACACTTCCCTGCAATTGACCAAAATAGAAATGATCTGTTAAGCGATGGTTATCAAACTCTGCTATCCAGTTAAGGATGCATCATCAAAATGGCAATATCGGTTTCACTAGCATTCAAGAGCTATCTGCTTACAGCCTACCATTGAACATATAGCCATTGGGGAGTCTTGGCAGACACATCAAATAAATGACTTCACAAATTACTTGTTAACATCTCATCTATCATGGGCAATAGAAACAAAACAAACCAGACCAAATCCCAATCTAACAATGTTTGAGTTGTCTAAATGACAAGTTTCATTAAAACATTATATTTGCATGCACTAAAAATAATATCTCGAGAAGCAATACACAATTACACAGATCTCCAATGGCCTTAACATGAATGGGTAATGAAAAATTGACAGCAGCACTGTAATGGCTCAAGCATGAAATACCAATGATTCTCAGGTTTCTGCTGAAATCATATGACACCCACTTATTGCTCATGCACAAATTAAGCACATTGGTAAATTAAACCTGGGAAGGTAGACAAATAAAGATTGCATTTATCCTTCAGCCAGATGACAACAAATGCATGTCCTATGTAGTGGGAATAATAAACACATTGCACAAGTATAAGTATGCTGCAAATCTGAGCACTCAAGTTCAGCACATGGTTGCCACTAATTGCAGCACAGAGAGCCAATGTTTAATGGAATGATGATGCTGCAAAGGCAACTTTGGGGGAAAATACAGCAAACATAATTCTGGACTCTCAAGCACTTCTCATATTCAGCAAAACATGGTCTGGCCTGACTTACATCACACAAACGCACCTTTTAGTACACAGATGTTGCGTACGCGTCATGCACAGTGGACGAATGTTTGCGGGCTGCTCTTCCAACATTTCACGGTATCGGCCCAGTAGGCTCCGCGCTTTCTAAACAGGTCTGAATCGACTGAATCTCCCACAAAACCTGTGTAATGTTGGTATCTGCCGATGCACCAAAACATTTTCTTAATTGAATCCGGCACCTTCGCTCAGCTCAAATCCCCATTTAATGACAACAAATAGTGTTCTTACCTCGCGCTCACGACCCAGCCAATTCCCTTCAACAGACGGACGCGTAACTTCTTGGCGCAACGGGCAGTTGATCTTACGAAGATGGAGGTAGTAGATATTTTCAGCTGATTATGACGTCAAAAAACCAAAAAGTTTTGCTAGCCGAAGTACTAAATTTTAGTTACTCACGGGACCGGACGGCACGAGACGAGGCCAGACGAGATCAGACGAAGCTTAACAGAGCCCAACGGGATCGAACGCCATCGGACGGCACCAGATGAAACCGGAAGAACGTAAGGAGCCCAGACGGCACCGAATTACTGCGGAAGGGCAGGACTGGCTAAATGAGGCCAAATGGGCTTGGAGGAAGCGGGCCAAACCGGACAGGATCGGACGGATGACACCGGATATGACAGATATAAATCACACGGGACCAGACAGAACCGAATGGCGACGAATGGAGCAAAATGACCCCCAGCATGAAACAAGATCGGAAAAGACCGGTCCGGACCGGACATAGGGGCATGGGACTAGATCGTGCCGCACATAACCTGTCGCGGTGGGGGTTGGATCGGACGGAACCGGATGGGACTGGACTGGGCGACTGGACAAGGCTAGACAGGATTGGAAGAGACGGGACAGGGCGGACCCAAATAGTATCTAATGTTATCTTGCGTCCTGCGTCCTTTCGGCTGGTTACGAACATTTTTGGCAATCAAATGGAGGAGGAGCTACATGTCCATGCCCCCTTTCTGGATCTGCCAGTGGGCAAATTACGTGATTCTGCACAGAACCGTCTTTTCGCGCCTGATAAGCGAATCATTGATAAGCGAAAAAATCGCTTACGATCACGGCCGTCCAATACATTTAGGCTTTGTCTTCTTTGAACTTCCATGAAACCCTTGATGTTGACTATGGTGCATCGACAAATAGTGTGATAAGTCCCTTTGGCTCGGAGTGGAAAATGATTATCAACTTTTTGATTTGTACAGTTTCTAACATTTCAATGAGACAAATACCGCGCAGCTGTTACGTAGAACGGCAGATTGGTCTCGGCGCGTAGCGTTGATTCCAATTGGCATGGCAAGCGCTCGCACCTGATTTGCATGTGACCGTGCATTGGTATTTCAGTCGATCATTGAATTGTGTCGTAGATGGGTGTTTCAGATATATTATTTAGCTATGTTCTAGACACGTTTCGCTGTTAGCGCCGAAGTACGAACATCGCGGAGACTACGAAAGGGTGAGATTAGAGCTTATATCATAATCAAAAGTGTCTCAGACTCAGTATAAGCTATGTTTTATCAGCTATCACTATTAAATGTCTATGCTTTTCACTTAATTCATATTCGTGTCGATTCATTTAGGGAACTGGCTTTTGGTGGAATCATTGGGATACAAACCAGGGTCTTCTGATCAAAAGTCCAGTGCTCAACCAGTATGAACCTAACCAAGTGGGAAGGACATTGGTGCTGGTTCTGACAACAGCTTCTTGTAACTTGGTTGAATCTTAACAATTCCAAGGGGGTGATTTAGGTTGCAGCATGTACATGGCTGAACACCTTTTATGAAGTGATTCTTAAGTCTCAGTAGCACCCAACAATGATCAGGGAGTTAGCAGGCTGAATCCATAGGTACATACTAACATGCCAGATGAGGTAAAAGTCTGGATAATTATTATATTGGTGCTGCTCTGTCCAGATGACCATATCATTTAATTACACCCTTTTGCTGTATAAAGCCACAAAAGGTCAGTGAAAGGTTTTGGATACTGCACAAAGTGGACATGGTGCCCTAGATTGGTTTGACCTTTGATGGCTAGTTGCTAGCAAGTATTTCCATGTGTGTTCAAACACTGTGTGTGTGCTGGTCACTGACTGATGAACTTGTCCTGGTGCTGCAGGATGGGGAGTCAAACATCTTTCTCCCAGACCATGGTAGAAGCTGTCATACCTACTTTTTGGCAGCTCTTGCCACCTGGGCATGCAGTATTTGAATGCCTTTTGAAGCCAGTGACACTTGGCTATAATTCATCCAGTCCACATTAAGAGCTGGTCTGAAAAGTGGAGCAATGCAAATGCTGCCATATTCATATTTCCATTGTTTTCTGACCACTTGCACATCATTTTTGAATAGCCACGACATATTGGATAGTGGCACAGTTCAGTGAACTTCAGTCCATGCATGAGTCTTAGGGGTAAATTCACTGTCCAGATGTTGTCTGTTGTTGACAGTCTGATTAGAGCATCATCAAAATGTCTACAGAACTGTTAAGCAAGCTGTGTATATCTGAAATTTATAGGTGCCAAGTAAATGATTGTGCTCCTTTTGGAACATTCTGTGTAATGCAGTCGACTGACCATAGCTCATGAATTACATGTTGGTGACTGCAACAGCATTTGACAACTTTGGAGCTGTGATTGAGTACTTTTCATATGTACTCACATTGAGTTGCATCACATCTGGTCCAACCCACAGCACGATATCATGTCTGGTAAAACTAGCACCCCTGTCAGGAGTCTTTTTATTTATTCTGGCAGCTGGCGTGATAATTTGGAGAAACCCATCAAGATTGCTTGGCAACGCCGCACTATGGCGGAAGTGTATCTCAGTAAGATTGCTGTGTCAGAAAAGTTAAATAGTTAAGCGTTAATGGAAGAACGGAACGTTGTTTCGCTGGAGCGCCCGTGGGAAGTTGGAACGAACGTTTTCAGATCCCGTGGTGTGGGACAAGATCTGTTTTATGTGTTTTCAGTGGATTTTGGTCAAATTGCTGCAACGTTTCGCTCCGTGTGGTGCCAATGTGCTGTATTAGTTCCGCCAGTTTGCTATGGCCACCAAAGTAGACAGACCACATCGATCGCGTTTAATGCGGAAGAACATTGCCCCGTTCATTTACGTGATGTGCTCATTTCTCTCCGAAGTATCCCTTAGCACCAACTTAATGCGATCTGGGAAGCATTGGCAAATAGCAACATCTGGTACTATTCATTGTTCACTGGTGTACTGTGGTGACGCGGCCGTGCGATCAGTTTAGCGTCACACAGGTTCCGATTGCAGCACAGAAGAGCGACAATCACTTTCGATCAGTTATGGTTGGAGCCAGGGTCGAATAATGAGTTTAGAGTGTGGGGGTTGATAGGAGGAATTGCGCCGTGAGCAAGTACCGATATAAGCGCAGCAAGGCGCCAAGAAATTGGTTCGCTCGTCTCAGGTAATGGACCCGTCACCAGTCAAAAGTTCAGCACACATACGCCTGGACAGGTGCCTACTTACGTACTTGAAGCTGTAAATTTGGATCTAAGTCAGGAGCCTGAGGGGCTGAATGGCTTATTAAACATTCCGTGGCTGGTGACTCCGGGCGGATAGCGGCACATTTACCTTGAAATGACACGTCGCTGTCGGCTTTGAATCACTTGACCCCCAATCTTGGTAGCCAATATTTCACATCTCTGGAGAGTTATCATTTTTCGAGGGTGTCTCAAACAACCGCAGTTCGCCTTTGTATTCAGTAAACGAGTTAGCGATCAAGAAGCTTAACATTCAGCCAGGCTTCAGGAAATGACGGGCGCATATTTGTTTTCTAGGGGCTTGGAAGGGTTGGTGTGTGACCGAACTGCTCTTTGCGCTACGGAGTTCAAGTGTAAACGTAAGTTACTTAACCCTCGTGCTGACAGGGGAGGTCCGAAGCGCCCCCCTCCCCCCAAGCCTTCTGAGATTACGTCTCCGGCATCTCTTGCAAACGTGCCGAAATTTTCAGTGGCGCGTGGGACATGTATTGCGCTCACTTTGACGACGAAGTTGTGTCCCAAGCATCTCTGTTTCGGAACAGCCACAGTTTTTCAGAAGCGCTGCACGGCGATTTACGGCCTGAGCGGGCGGCAGGCGGCAGCCGACGATACCGCCAAACGCGCGCGGCGGGAGGGGGGGGGGGGGCGGACATCGCTGTATCAACGAAACCATACATCACAAATGCATGGTCAAAACTAATATTACTATACACTGTTGTACTCAGAGTTAACCTTTGGCCTAGTGTAATGGGGTCACTTATTGCCCTTCAAACATAAACGTGTCGCTTATCATGAGATCTCATTAAGGACCACTCTACTGGTGTCTTCCGCTAAGCTCTATCGTTCTTAGGTGTGAACGGCAAGATGGAGGGGTCGTATTGACCCCCCCCCCCCCCCATCTGTTACCAGACCGCGTTATGAAAAACGGCGAATCAGGGCGAATGTTTACGCCTTGCACTGAATATGCAGACTTAGGTGTTTTAAAAAGTGCCGTATAATGACACCGAGTTATGGTGAAAATGATGACAACCAACGAGCTCAAATCAATGGAGCACGACTGCAGCCATCTAAAAGGGAGCAATTGTATTATTGTCAACCAGGGTCAGTTTGACGTCCAGGCACACTGAGCTTTCCTTGCATGCACGAACATTCGTACTGCATATTCAGCAGGGTACATACGCTGGCAAGTAAGTCGCTAGTAGATACAGGGTCGTAGCTTCATAAGGTTAGTGGGCCTAGCAGACAAAATTTTGCGAAACCTGCTCCGAAAATACACCAGAAACAGGTTTCTTCAAGGTTGGGGAGGGCCCAACCCTCCAACTAAATAGGAAACTACATATCTGAGATCTCCTGGCAAAATTAACATAGTGTGTGAAACAGCGATATGACACAAAGCACTTGAGCTGATATATAAAGCTTGTTAAGGGGCTGAGGGGTTTGAAGATGCCGCTTAATTTTCCGGGCGCTGAAAGAACGTAGTGAACTCCGTGGTTTCTTTACTTTCATTCAAGTTGCCTGCCTGAATGGGGGCAACGAAAGGCAGGCTAGTCGGCCTGCCCGTCGACTAGCTTGTTTTTGGTTCGGCGGCCAGCCGACCCGACACAGACGGTTAGCCGACCTGGCGCCGGCAGCTAGCCGACCCGGCACCGGCAGCTAGCCGACCCGGCACCGGCAGCTAGCCGACCCGACACAGGCGGTTAGCCGACCTGGCGCCGGCAGCTAGCCGACCCGGCACCGGCAGCTAGCCGACCCGGCAGGCGCCGGCAGCTAGCCGACCCGGCACCGGCAGCTAGCCGACCCGGCACCGGCAGCTAGCCTACCGACACAGGCGGTTAGCCCGACCTGGCGCCCGGCATGCTAGCCGGACCCCGGCACCGGCAGCTAGCCGACCCGACACAGGCGGCCAGCCGACCCGACACAGGCGGCCAGCCGACCCGGCACCGGCGGATAGCGTGCTATCCGACTATGCCATAAGTTAAAGACTTATGGTTGATGCGGTGTCTCAGAACTGGTGATACTTTTGGATGCGCATGAGAAAATGTCGTCCTATCGTTTTATGTGTTCCAAGATAATTCCAGTTCATTTCAAGGCTCAAAGATAAAACATTCCTGGTAAATTTCCCACGGCCTGTAACGCCTCGGATAAGTTTCCAAGATCCAAGCAGACGGCGTGGCAGCCGGGATCAGTTCAGTAGCACCTCACTTTCCTGAATCATTGCTAAGTCTTAGAAAATGAGCCATTAGAGATGGTAAGAATCACAGCATTCTCTTAAAAAATTGAATGATTCGCTTTTTTACTGTGCTTCCGTCATTCCAAAGACCATCCGCTTACATGCAGCCATTTTCGGATAGGATTAAAGTTTACGTCTACATGTTTGAATACTACAACGTAGTTTACGACCTATAACACCATGAAAAATGAAAGCTACGCAAACTGAAAAATAAAAGTGCACCACCGCCCCGTTGTAAACGCACTTCCGGTCGGCGTGTCCACCTCAGCTTGATGTTCATGTCGCTAGATGGTGCTATCTGTTGCCTGCGAAGCCGTGCACGTGAGCCTTGCCTTTGCGGCAGCCGCCAGGTGCTCGTGCCGGCGGAACGGCAGCCGGTGGGCCGGCCAGTCGGCGCCGCGCCGCGTCCCGCACCGATCGCAGCCGATCGCCATGGTGGCCGCCGGCAAGCTGGCGCTGTACGGCGGCGTGTCGGCCGCGCTCTGGATCCTGCTGGAGGCGGTGACGGCCGGCCAGATCGTCGCCGCGCTGTTCGCCGTCTGGGTCGTCACTGGCGGCTGGCGCACACTGCGTATCGTGTACCGCACTCTGCCGCGTGAAATCAGGTTAGTGAACGCACTGCCGCTCGTGGTCAGGTCAGTGGTGGAGTACCCTGGCAGCATCCGAGTCAGGTCAGCGGTAGAACTTCCGGGCACCCGAGGTCAGGTTTGGCATAGCACTCGAGGTCAGGTCAGTGGTGGTGCACTCTGGCACCTGCGATCAGGTCAATGTTAGAGCACATTGGAGCCTGGAGGCAGATCAGTGGTAGAACATTATTGCAACCAGGATTAGGTCAGTTGTAGAGCACCCTGTCACTCTGGATCAGGTCAATTGTGGAGCACCCTGGTACCCGAGGTCAGGTCAGTTGTAGAGCACCCTGACGGCCAAGATCAGGTTGGCTGTAGAGCACCCTGTCACTCTGGATCAGGTCAGTCGTGGAGCACCCTGGCACCCGGGGTCAGGTCAGTTGCAGATCACCCTGGCACCCGAGATCAGGTCAGTGGTAGAGCACCTTGGAACCTGGGATCAGATCTGTGGTAGAGCGTTTTTGGAGCCGGGATGAGGTCAGTCGTAGAGCAGCCTGCGGCGTGAAGTTAGGTTCTTTGTGCCGCACGTCGCAACACGGGATCAGGTCACTGGCACCGCACGCCTCCGCACGAGGTCGGGTCATTGGCACCGCATCCGGCCGCGTTAGACCAGGTTAACCGCGTCGCACCGGAGGCCAGCGCGAGGTCGGATTAATTTCCGCGTAAATGCTTTGCTGTAGTAAGCTCACACTCGGATGGCATATATGATACAGGGAAACGGAGTGGATCACGAGAAATTTGGGTGTCTCCCTGGATCCGGCACCCGATCGCGCTCGTATACCGAGGTGGTGCATATGGTGCATAGCGAGATCAGGTCGGTATCTACGCCGCTTCGCTTGGAAAGGCTGGCTTAGTGACGTCCTAAATCCAGCAGTGCTGCCGAATACCTTGTTTGCGGGCAGTAGAAAATGCCGTGCCTTGCGGTCTGTTCGTGGTTAAAAGTTGTGTTGCTGAACATAATCCTGTGCACTTGCCATCCTAGCTTACATCACTGATGGGATTGGTGGGAGATCCTGAGAGCGTACGTTGGGCAGCCATAAACATGGCCCGCTGTAAAAGGAGAGTACTTGGGTGGAAGGAAGAGGCGCAGGTGCAAGGGCGTAGCACGGTAATTTCGACCCTCGCCGTGCACTGTTGTGTTTCGCGTATCGATTGGCTGGGCCATGAGCGTCGTCACTCTGATGAAGTGAGGAAGGCCGCGTGTTCGCTCAGTGTGGGGCCCGTGGCTGTTGTCGGCCCCGTGATCGAGTGGTCGTGGCTGCCCTGTCGTGCCGTACCGCCCCGGACGTGAGTCGATTGCTGCATCCGATGACGCGGACGGTCGTGTTCCGGTACGGCGGACCAAATCCCCTACCGTCACCGTCATGGCGCCGGAACGAAACGGGGCAGTCAGACGGAAGGTGTGCTGCACCTGAATCATTTTTCGGTCGGCGCGCAAATGGGGTAAAACAGTAGTGAAGGCGCCATGTGTTGCCAGTCCGATTAGTTTTATCAGCCTTCCCCATCCACCAGGCTGTGCGTGGTCGCCGGAAACCCACATATGCCTGCAGCGAAGTGTGCGTCCAATGATGATGCGTTATTGCGTTTATGCTCCAGTTCTTCCGTTGGTTGGTTGGTTCGTGCCTTCTGCACCTACTTGGCACGGTCCCTGTCCGTTTTTACGGAAGATTTGCTGTTAGATCTTGCCATGGTTTTGTTGCCTCCGTTTATCTTCTCTCGCACCTGCCGTTCCGCTGCGGGTGGTCTTCACAGTGCGCGCGCTCTCTGCCTGTCCACCCGTCCTCAGTTGGGCCCTATTTAACCGACACGCGCGCACCGCAGGGCCACACGGAGGTTCACCAAGCTGATCTTCAGGGTCAAGTCATGCGAGTGGAACAACACGTCGGTGCCAGAGCTGTTCCAGCAGCAGGCTGCCCTGCATCCCAGCAAGACCGCCATCATGTTTGAGGATGAGCGGTGGACATATAAAGAGGTACGGTCAATGTAAAAAAACGTGTGTGTGTCCGCGGCAAGGAGAGGACTAGTATTTTTGAAGCGTGACAAAGGCGAGAATTGTCATAAAACTCCCGGTCCTTTTTAGCATAAGAATTCTTACATGGGATCTAAGCAACCTTCGGTATGTCAGGAGATGCTGTTAAAAGGAAGGTCACAGCATTGAGTACTGCTGGAAGCGTCGAGTGTTTTCGGACTGCTCGAACGGTTACTGGGAGCAGTAGCGTGTGGTGCGTTGAAGGTCGGTTGGTTGCATGCGGCGTAAAACGACACGAGATTTCTTTTCGCAGCATGTTTGTCGTTGATTAGACATGAGCGTATACGGCAATAACAGCCCAAAGTGATACAATTATCAAAACGTTAGCTATGTGTCGGCCAAAGCATTGGTGTTCATCTTCGTTTGCTTTGGCGCTTTGGTTCAGGGGTGGGGAGTCCTGGGATTGCTTTGCCTTTAGCTACTTCATGAAATCCTTGCTTCGTAGTTTCGATGATACATTGCATACAAAGCTAAAATTCGCACAATGTTTCCTCACGCCCGTGCCGTTTTTTCGGTTAAATCTACGCAGGTTCTTACCCCAGAAAGAAATGGATATTTGCAATCGTACGGGCTGAAGACCGGATGTGTGCGTTTGCATATGCATTTTATTTTACTCCTACAGTGACGACCGCACTGTGGATGTGATAGCGCTGATAATTGACCTCAACCTGCACGACCCCAAAATCGTGATAACGTCTGTTTTCACCATTGATTATAATGCAAAACTTTTCAAACTTCTAAGAAGTTGTCAGCGTGTATTTTTTAACAAGAGCTTTTGTGAGCGTTTTTCGACCAGAAACAGTTTTCAGAGGCTGGCACGTGCTTAAAGACGCATATGTGGATAACATTGCGGTTTCTTGGTTGAAATCAATATGATGCTCGTTCGAGCAGTTGCGATGTCAGGTCTGATCCTACCGAAACTTTTCAGCCTCCAATAAGCTTGCAGTACTTTAGAGCTCATTTATCTGGACATGGTCCATGACGAGTAATCCTTAAATTAAACGATACTCAAAGCCGGCCTTGCTCCACATGACACCGATGTAAACAATCATGGCGCGGCACCATTGCTGGGTCTGCTATTGTCCTAGCATTTGTGTGAACTTGGGAGGGCTGAATGCACTTTTTAAGAGATTAGCTACGCATTTAAAACTGCCAACAATTTGCCTGAAAATAATTATTTTCTTGTCAAACAGCTTAGCGCATACCAGGAATTCTTATGAACCTTTGTCAAATGTTTTAAAAACTTTCGGCGCGTAAATACTTCCTGAAAACTCAAGCCCAGCTGTAAGTCTTTCCCTTTAAACTTGTTAAATGTAGACTAGGAACTGTTCAAAGGATTTTAAAAACTGCTTAACGTATTTTTAGCGCAATAATCTTCGTGAAAACACGAGCAAAACTAGCACTAATCCAAACTTAAACGCCATGACCGAGTCATTCATTTATTGCCCTTTGTCGTTTACCATTGAAAGGCTGTCTTTCATGTCTTGTACACGAAAGTAGTGGTTTCTGCTGACATCGAAGAGATGACCAGATCACTGCAATAGCTGATTCAACTGACTGCACGTTCTGCCAAGACGCCACACATCTGATCGTTTTTCCTTTGGCGCCAGTTTTCTGAAACGTATGGTCTGGTTTGAAATGTGGTCACTTTGACGCACGTATCGACTTTTCCTAGTAGCGACTCAGTTTCGTCAGAAATTCCATATCCTCCCGGTAATCATGTTACCATTGTCAGCATTTGCCTGCGACATGCCTACTGAAAATTTTCCAATGTTGTGTTTCGTGGAACAAAGGGAATTTCGATCCCAAAATGTGGTTTTCGACCCTCACAATCACGGACATGGTATATACTACCACATGTGTGTTTTGCCTTCCGCCGTAACGCTGTGAGCGAAAACACTGCCGCTGTTTAAGTACCACCAGGTAATCTGAGGTCAGTTAGGCCAGGCTGCCTCCCATTAGGCCAGTGTTAACATCGAAACTTGACGAGATTATTGCGTGTCAGGAGAGAACTTCTAGGAAGAGCGGCACCGGTTGAATCGCGAGGGCATGGTTCCGAATAACTCCCGAAAGCTGTTTTCCACATGCCCAATCCATTGGCTGTTGAATCTTAAGGCGTGCACCAGGTATTTCACGGGCCCTCGCGAAGTTGTCCAGTCTAAGCGGCCTGGCCTGGTGGCACACTGGGCTGCACCCCGATCATCCCTGTGATATTTCTTCCTGGAGTCGTATCAGGGGAGACTCTTTCCCAAAAGCTGAAGGGGGAGGGGGTGACTTCAACAGCAATTTTGAACCTGAGACCATTCTTGCTCTGCGCCGCCACAGGCGTGATACCGAAATCAGTAATCAATGATGGGCTGCGCCCCTCCCCTCTCGAAGTCCACAAAATGTCACCCCGTGGGCCACGCCCCCGGCGGCCAAGCGTTCTCGCGCCGTTCTCGCGGCCAAGCGTTCTCACGCCGACAGCCCAGCTGGCAGTGTCCGGTCGCGGTCCACGCACCGGCTGCCGTATCGCTGCGGCGGCGGCGGCGGACGCGGCGCCGGGCTCCGTGCGCGTGCTTCCGATGGTGCGCCGATACGGTGGGGCGCGATAGGGTGCGATAGCTGCGGCCCAGCGTACGGCACAGGGAGCGCGCCTGCGGCCGCCGCGTGCCGGACAGCGGCCGGCCGGCGGCGCGGGCCGGCGGCGCGGACCCGCGCGCCCACTCACCTGGCAGCTGGCCAAGGCATCAGGCCTGAATAGACGGTGGCACGGACGCGTGATGATCTCGGTCGAGCGGGCGCGCCGTAACTTCGCACTGCATACCGCATACGACGGCCGAGCTGATCACAGTCTCCGAGTGCGTGCGTGTGTTCTCGGAGGACCCGCCGGCCGGGATCCGGCGGATACCGGCTCTGTTAGCCCGTGCCTCTCCGTTTTTCCGTGGTTTCCGGCTTTACATGGACCATTGCAGGACCTGCAACGTCCGGCGGATGTCAATGGTCTCAAAGATGCTTATGGTTTGCAGGTTTATTTTGATTCGCGGCCTATGTAAATTGGCGATCATTGGTAGCATGGGAACTTCGGCAGGGCTACTTGACACTGTTCCCAGCTGTTCAAAAGTGATGTCAATAATTTACAAGTAGGATTTGCTACTTAAAGAAAACAAACGTGTGGCCAAGAGAGGCAAAAAGAAACCATCGGCAAAAAGTTAAATCTCGCACACCTTGAGCCGAGTTTTTGTGTATACTATTCACCAGAGCAGAGCTCGGCGTCGTCTGGGCCATAGCCTCCACGTGATGACTACTGTCGTTTAAGCACGCGCCGACCGCAGCGGTCATTTCGCGTCAATAGACACTTGTTTACGAACAGATTTAAAAGCGACATTGACGCCTCCCGGCGCAAGGCCAGCGCTTTGGCCAACTTTCAGTTGGCTAGATGACCTGTTGACAGTGCTGTTGCTCGTCGCAGCGTTAGACTCACTCACTTTTTGTATTCGGGTGGCCGACATACGATATATATATATATATATATACACATATATATATATATATGTATATATATATATATATATATATATATATATACATATATATATATATATATATGTGCGTTTATCTAGGTATATATATATATATATATATATATATACACGATACGATGCATACCATATACGTGTAAAGTCGTCAAACGTGCAGATTTTACGTTCATATCACGTGGCTGCCACGGCAGGCTGTCGTACGGGTCACCGTGCGGCATCAAACAAATGTGCACCCACTCAACTAGATTTGACGGGTCTGATTCGGGCTGTAGAACGAGCTTTCTCGAGCTATTGCTCAACTACTCAGATTTGCTTTTTAAGGTTTAGTGAGGGCCCCCAGACTGCATGAACGGCTGGGATCAGCGTTCATGTTAAGTAGTAGATGTTGCGTAAACCCTGACTCCACCAACCGATGGTGAAATTCCGAGTCCACAGCATACATTTGTGGCGAGAGTTTGACGTGCCTCAATGCTCGGCACGGTTCAGCTTGCTCTCTGACATCGCCTGGGTTTAAGCGCGGCCGCTGCCACCGGTCGCAGGCATCCCATTCAGGGGGCAAATAGCGGACGTTTGAAGCGACTCGAACAAGCCCAGCCGCGGCTGGGTGAATCCGAAGACAGGCGCTCTAACCAAAGGGGTTACGGGGCGGTCAGAATGCGTGACAAAAAGATGAGCTGAGCGTTTTTGCTAAATTCTTCCATCGCGCTCCTTGTTTGCTGTCACAAAAAATGCGTTTTCTTCAAATGGATTAGTATGAGCTCGGAGCTCTTATGCTGACAGTTATCAGGGGCGGCGATAATGTGGAAGGCGCGTTCCCCACAACTTTTAAAAACATAGGGGACTATCCCTCACAACATCAGAAAACCCGAACGGGCCGAATGCGTGCACGCCTTCTGATGAAACTAGTAAAATACAAAATATCATGCAGAACGCTAAATCTACTTGGCTTGGCCATTCCTACCGGGACTTCTAAGCCGGGTGAGGCGGGCTATATCAATTTTTTGAATATTTCTTTCCAGTTACCACTCAAAGGGCTAATCGTAATCGCTGATATTTAAGTCAAAGGGTCAGCCACTCCCTCCTTGGCTCCCTGGTTTCTGAACCTCTGCCGTCGGTGTGTCTGTTTGAAAGCGTGGTGCTCCCCACACGAGTTTTACAATGTCGTGGAAATACCGAACCAAACACGTCACACGTGCAAACCCCCTCAATAGGAAGACCCTCGTTCTTAAAACGTCAGAAGGCGCTCGTCACTTCGGTTGTTCAGCGCCTTTCTCACGTTGTTCAGCTATTGTTCCGTGGGTTCTTGGAACTTTGTATCTCGTTGCGGGGACCATGCCGCCATGTTAAAATGCCCGCCCCTCGATTTTAGGCTGGGTCCCCGTGGTGTGAAACTCAGCCCACATCACCATATCCGTTCTTTGAAATCATAATACCTCACGATTCCACGCAAGGAAAATACTTTTCACAGACAAGTCGTATTTCCAAACGTCTCTGACAGATCATTAGCGTTTCTATAGCTCTAGTTTGGTTGGCCGCTGTGGCATGTTATTTCGAAAAATTTTCATACCAGTGCTCGTGGTGTGCGAGTTATGGCACAAACGTAAACACGAGGCGTGCTCGCGCTGTTTGGGTGCATCTAGAACGAAGACCGGACAAATATCAGTTAAATACAATCTCATCAACCAATGTAGCTGTGAACATCACGAAGGGCCGAGGTGTTTGAGATGTTGGATCGCTAGCTGCGGGCCAAGGCGAGCCAAGGCGTGCCAAAGACAAGGGCGTACGCTGGGAGTCGAGCAATGCGGTCATCTCCCCAGGAGCGCATTGGTTGGCAGCCAAAAATGCAAACTCTCTGCAGAAAGCGAAGTTTATTTTGAAACGAACGCGTCAAGCTTGGCCTCGGGCATGTCTACCCGCAGTTCCTCTGACAGCATCCGGTCTTGTAGTGTTGTGTAAACCACCCGCTGTCGAGTTGAGCAACACAGGCATGGGATAGCAAGCCACGAATTCGCCCGCAGTTATGCCAGACTGGAACGTGGGTAAAACGTTCTGGATGATGTGTTCTTTGGGGACCACCACCCAGCATTCATATCCATCTAACTTTGGGCGCTCGCATTTTGGGCCGTTGAGGATGCGAGCCGTCGGGTGGTGTTAGTTCTCCGCAGGTACTTGAAGCCTCATAAGGAGACAGGTGGTCTGAACCCTCGCGAGTCCGTCAGCGGGTCAGATTATGGTGGACAGGCCACTTCTTTAATACTTGGCACACAGTGCACCACGTACCTTTTTTGCTTTTGTTTTTGCTCGAACTATTCACACGATAAGAGGCATTGCACGGTGCCGTGACTCACGGGGAGGAAATGAAGCAGCACGACTAAGTATAGTTTGTGATCAGCGTGAGGCTGCATTCTTCTAAAGCGTAGGTTATGTGACAAACAATAGGCACAAGCATTACTGATCTTTACGCGTCCTCTTCGTGTTATGCAGCGCTGCAATTATCTGATTTGGTGCCACTTGGCAGATGACCCTTAGTTTGACGCACCTCAAAATATCTTGCGAACCGCGTCACAGCTAGTTCTCGTCACCTTATCAACACTTCAAGGTCTTTTTCAACGTACCTGGCAACGTCCCCAACATAGCAACCACGTAGGTGCAATATTTCCAAAGATGCTTATTCAGCAATGACGGCACCGGTAATGACGTAGAAAATGTGGTCTCAAAGGCTGCTAACAGAGTTTCAGGAAATACCTGCATTGCAGTTTGCAAAGGCTTTATGGACATCTGTACGACACTCCAACAGTGGGGGTCAGCTGGCCGCCGGTAGTGCATGAGCCGGCAGGAGGGCGCCGCTACCCAGGCTGCCGCCGCCGTACCCGGGCCCTGGCTGGCTGCGCACGAGCACGGCCGGCCGCCGGCTCCCGGCCAACCGGAGCCGTCGCTAGTCGGTGCGGTGGGCTGTGGCCACTGGGTCACGCTCCGAGTCCGACCGGCACCGCCGGGTGAAAGTCTTGGCTGGCCGGGCCGGGTGCCGCCCCGCCCCCGCCCTCCCCCCCCCCCCCCCCCGCCTCAGCGACGGCCGAGACGGGCTCGATCGCCGCACGTGGCGCCCGCTCGGCCCTCGACTCGCACCTGAGTACCCGGGTACGATGTCCAATACGTGGGTGCTAGGTGCGGTCTAAAATGCGCACCCTACGTTGTGGTTGTATGCGCACACCTTGGTTCTGCGGGCTTCGCACGCGATTGAAGTCTGCGGGAGGGACGGACCATCGTCGCCACAGCTGATCCGCTGTGGAGGTGGTGACGACCCGGCGCCCGTGCCCACCCGACGGCGCCGGTTCCCGCTGTGGAGATGGTAGGGGACCCGGTGCCCGCGCCCACCCGGCGGAACCAGTGCCACTCCCCTCCGTCAGCGCCTCCAGCGGCTCTTCCGCTGATGGTGTGCCCGCGCGGGGCTCACGCGATTCTGGGCGGCGTGAGCGATGAGAGTAGCCGGCGGCCTCTAGTCGCCAGATGTCGCTGCCACCGCTGCGCCTTGGCCGGGATCGCGGCAGGCGTGGAGGCGTGGCGACGGCTGGGGCGGCGGCAGGGCCGTGTCGAGGAGCAGTCTGCCCGCGACGGACTCTGATCCCCAGTGTGGCGTGCTGACGCCAGCCTGTTTCCAAGGGCGTCCAGCTGCGTATCACTCCCATTTCGGGGATCGCGGGTGATCGTCGGGTCCGGCGGTTATACGATGTTATCGATTTGTTTGAGGCTGGTCCTGCTGGATGATCGGCGCTGTGCCGCGTCTATCTTGTTAACTTTGGACTGGGTGCGGTCTGGTGCTCTGCGAGATTTTCGCGGCCTGTTCGGTTTGGCGAGCGTTTGTTCAGTCGGGCTGTGACTGACAGAGATCCGTGGACGGCTCAGTAGGGATGGCCGCTTACTGATAAACGTTAAACTATTCAGGAGTAGGTGGGGTTCGTTGCGATATTGCTGTTCTTGCCCTTGCAACACAGAGCACAAAGTGTTTGTTTCTTTGCTTCATTACATCATTACGAATAACTATAAAGAGAACTGAATAATTGGTGCCGTAGAAAACGCTTCTCAAGGAGATACCGTTCTTTGCAACTGTGGCTTCCTTCTGTCGATTTTCACCCTAGGCCTGCCCGGTCAAGGTCACCCACTAGTTGGCGGTCCGACAGCCAGCGCCGCTCTGGGCGGCGGCCGGCTGCCGAGGGCGCTAGGTCGGCCCGGCCGGGCCAGACCGGCTCAGACCGGCTCAGACCGGCGGCGTCCTGGTCACCGGCTGCAGGTCAACGCCTGGCAGCGGGTCGCCGCGCACAGGTAGACGACGCGCACGGCGAACGGGGTCATCGCGACACCCCGTTACACGCAGCGGAGGTGCAGGCGACGGCTTGTCAATCGTAAAGACCTGGTCACGAAGGCGCAAACGCGGCGAAGTCGCTGCGGCTTCTGGCGCCACCGTTGCCCTCGGCCCGTGTCTAACGCCAGCGTTTTCAATGTGTAAGGTCAGTGGGCTGACCCCACAGTGGATCGTGCTCAGCGGCGCGTTTGCAGCAGAACCTGCGCGGCTGCACCCGATCACCCGTGCCCGCTTGATCTAGCTGAAGGCAGAGAGCTGGCGCAAGGTGCAGCGGTAGGGTGTGGGACCATCCCCTCGTCCGGGTACACCGTGCTCACGGGAGAGACCCGTGGCCGTCATGGTGTATGATCATAAGATCGGCCATGGACGCCGCCACCTGCACCGGCTGCTGAACGTTTGCCATGACGCGTCAGCGCGCCACGTTGCGTCGCAGAACGCGACTGTGACCACTGCGCCGGTGACGGGTGGGGGCGTGGCGCGGCTCCAGGGCGTGGCGTGAGCTGGGTGCTCAGCGAGAGCACTCAAGCTTGACGAGCCCCTTCCGCCGAGTACGCCGGGTTCCGATGTGCGGCTCTGTGGTTCCGGTGCGTGGGATCACGATGTTTCGCTGTGTCGTAGGACTGCGGTGGGACAGGCGGGCGGTAAACCGGTTGGTAGACTTTGTAGCAGCAATTAACGGGATTAGACCGTCTGGAAATAAAATGCGCCGTCAGATTGGCCGCCGAATGCTGTATGTTATAGGTACTCCTGGATATATTTATAACCGTCGGAATTTCACTCCGTCGTCCTGGAGATTGTGTTGCGGAAATGGGCTTTCTTCGAGATGCTTTTTGGACGAAGTTTTCCCGTCGGGCCAGAATTGCGCTGCCTTTCCGTGAATCTTGAATCTTGAAAATCGTGGACCCTTCAAAACGCTCGCCCGCCAAGGATGTTGAATCAAGCTAGGATACATAGGAGGCTAGTTGGCGATCAGTACACGCTCGGTTGCCTTTTTCCCATATCAGGCTCCTCCAATCATCAATGGCAAAGACGTCAGTTACCATGTACCTGCATATCAGTGGGTTGACATTTGCATGTCATCGTTATCAACTTCAGGATAGGAAATGCATTCGCACGCACACTATGCTCAGGCAACAAGACTGCATTTAAGAAACGTCGGAAGGTCACATTGCAATGTTGTTTGTTTATGGCAATACGTCCCCACAACTAAGCACAACACTTAACTGCTTGCAAACAAGTCGGCTTAAGATAATACAGGACAACGTGACGAAAGATCTCCCAGGCTATGAATAAGAAAAAGTCTGCATAACAATCTGCAAGCCTTTGCACAGCTGTGAATGAAGTAGATCGACATAATGGGAGCATCCGTTTATGCCAGAGCCAGGCGAGTGAGCGCGCCAATCTCGCCTTCCAGCTGGACGAGTACAGCAACCGCGTGGGCAACGTGTTCCTGGCGCGCGGCTTCCGCAAGGGCGACGCGGTGGCGCTGTTCGTGGAGAACCGGCCCGAATTCGTCGCCACCTGGCTGGGTCTGGCCAAGGTGGGGGTCATCCCTGCGCTCATCAACTTCAACCTGAAGGAGGCCTCGCTGCTGCACTGCATTCAAGTGGCGGGCTGCAAAGCGCTCATTTACGGCGTGGAACTCAGTAACGGTACGTGAAGGCCGGTGCTTCTTGTGCCACAGCAAAGACGGAACAGGAAACATCTTGCTGTTATAAATTTCGTGTACCATGTTGACTGGCATTCTAAGACCTCCGGCCGGTTGTTATGTGTTTTTGACGGAATGAGATGCATGCGTCCAGTAGGTATTTGCCAGCTCTTAAGTCTTGCTGTAAATTGGCGCAAGTGTCATTTGTTATGTATATATTGTCCTGTCCTTGTCAATTAACCGAGCTTCAAATTGGCGCATTGTTACTCACCGTTGGTTAGGACACAGTCAAATACATATGCCGTATTCGTTTCCGGATGTACTTACAGCCGTTGCCGACATTTAGGACACAGCCAAATGCATATGCTGTATTCGTTCTACCTGCAGCCGTTGCCGACATTCAGGACAAGCTGGGCTCCGAATTCCCGACCTTTTCGACGGGGATGGGCGGAAAGGATCCGTCGCCAATCTCAGGTACGGTCGACCTGGCTGCCATGTCCTAGTGTCGCTAGTGTAGGGGTTAGGCTGTGCGTCGGCTCCGAATTCCCGACCTTTTCGACGGGGACGGGCGGAAAGGATCCGTCGCCAATCTCAGGTACGATCGACCTGGCTGCCATGCCCTAGTGTCGCTAGTGTAGTGATTAGGCTGTGCGTCAGGAAAACCAGAGGTTTGAAGTCCGATTCCCCGCGGTGTCCGCCTTTCCTGCTAGGGTGAGAAGCGGGCGACGAAGCAGATGATTGGAGCCTCAGCAACTTGGTGCGTCGTGAAGCCGTAATCACGGCACTGCCATGCCTCTGCGCTCTTGCTGATTTGAGGTCCCTCGCGCATAGGAAAGTCAGTGCTGCTGGTAGCCAGCATCAGCGCCCTCATCAGCTTCAGAATCAGCGTCAGCGTCAGTCTGTGCCGAGGCTGATCAGTGTATCGCTGCTCCCAGCGCTGCCTCAGCGATTTCCGTTACACCTCGCGAACAGCGATAGACCCTGACGTGAAACGCCCGGCACCTGTTCGCAACATGCCAGCTTATCCGGCGAGGCTCATACTGCAACGATTCACCCACTGGTCATGCTAAAGTGACGTCATAAATCGACCGGCCGATTCTCGTTTGGATTTATATCACATTCGGTTTTGTGATTTGCTGATTTATGGAGGAAATGTCGGGGCTTGCGTGTCACAAGACCATGCTGGTCACTTGTTCGTTGCGCGTTGCGATCACGATGGGTCATGCATGAGCGTTAAAAGAAATCGGGTGGTAATGGTGTGACTTAGTAACCCGGATCTACTCAAACTGGTTTTGTGTGCTGTGTGGAAATTGTTGAGTATGTGCATGGCGGGAGGAACAGTGGAAGGCGCCAAGCTTTTGATTCATTTTTAGGCTATCCTGTGCCCATGAACAGTTTTGCATGCAGCAAAGGGCTGTTGAAATATTTTGGGACTATGGAACCAGCTTAGGCATGAAACCTGTCTTCAACATTAGCTGAACAGCGCTAGCCTCAATGCTCCATCAGTGTTGATTGCTCTAGTCTTTTTACTGCAGTTAGTGAGGGATCTGTGGAGCTTTTCATTTAAACTTAAGTTGGTAGTAGTCTGAAATAGATGGGATAATTTAGCCATATCGGTGCAATTGCCGTCACCTCTGCTTATTCGGTGACTGATGTCAACCAGTGCACAATATATTCGCAATTAAGCTCGTCAAAAGGCTGCCCTTCAGTCTAGTGTATGGAGACGATCGGCTGGCAGGTCTCTGAACGCCGAGTGGGAAACTGGAAACAGTCTTTAAAATAGCCTTTGCTTCCAACAAAAGCCTCGGATGGTTTGATGGTTGTTAAAAGGCCTTGGTTTGATGTAAACACAACATCTAGCATATCGTGCCTTTGTCTGGTTGGTGTTTCCTCTCAGCGGCGTTGGTCGAAGTCCAGGCCGCCCGGGCCGGAAACCCGAGATATGCGGTGCGCAGGTGTTTTCGAATGAAACACGATGTCATTAATCCGCTTGAATTTTTGTGATTTTGCTTACCTTTTTACGCGTGTTTTAGGCATTGGCCAAACAACATGAGGTTTGACTGACGTAACGGGCGGTGTGTGTCGGACAATTTGTGTAGCTTGTGTCCCTCACGCGTCTGTGATGTTTGTACTCCTTGTTAGCTAGGTCTGTGTTGATTGGTTTCCCGGGCTACGTGGGCTTATATTGTTCCCGCCTAAGCGAGGCCAAGACAGGTGTTCGCACAGCTGCTGACAAATGTATGTCCCTTGTTTAGCTGCTGATGAGTCAGACCGTCGTTAGCAGCCGATTACAGTTTGTCCCTCGACGTTCTGCCGGTGAGTGAGACCCTCGCCCAGCTGCTGTTAACGCTCTGGTCCTCCTGCTGATGAGTGACGCCCTCGCTCAGCTGTGGTTAACACTGTGGTCCTCCTGCTGGTGTGAGGTCCCCGTCCAGCTGCTGTTAACACTCAGGTTCTCCTGCTGATGACTGAGGGTCTCGTCTGGCTGCTGATAACACTCTGGTCCTGCTGATGAGTGAGGGTCTCGTCCAGCTGCTGATAACTCCCTGGCCCCTGCTGATGAACGAGGCCCCGTCCAGCTGCTGGAACGAGTCTGGCCGGGGCTCAGCTGCCGATAATGGCCCTCGTCGCTGGGCTGGCTGACCTTTACCCACTTTCTTATGGTCCGGTCCTTGTCCAGATACTGATAGCCATCTGGTCCTCGTCCAGTTGCTGATATGAATCTGGCTCTTGTCGATCTATCGATAAGATCCAGACCTGGTCCAGTTGTTGATGAAATTCTGGCCCTGGTTCAGCTGCTCATAAGAGCCAGGTCTCTTCCCATTGGCTATGAAATTGTGGCTCTTGGTGAGGGCTTGGCTCTTGTGCCGCTGATGTTAAGGTTTCGACCCTCATTCAGCTGCTGATAAGTTTGGCCGTTGTCCAGCTTCTGAGGCTTGGCCCTTGTCTGGCCGTTTATGACGGTCCGGACATTGTCCGACTGTTCATGAAGGCCTGGCCGTTGATCGGCTGCGTTTGGACGGTAGCTGCGTTCATCCAGCTACGGATAAACATCATCCTTATCGAGCTGTTGATGCATGGACCAGACGACATGTTGACAGGGCCGTGTGCCGATATTTCAGGGGTGGATATATGGATGCTTCTTCCACCCGGGTAATCTAGTGCTATACACACACGCAACGCAAAGAGGCAACTGTAGCACGTCCACATTGTGCTCGACCGCTTTTCAGCAAAGGTATGGTTCGGCGGTATCAGTGGCACTGCCTTGGCATGTTGCCAACCGACAGTGAAGTACGCGGTGAAAACGCGTCGCGTTGTGGACGCCGATGGGTGGTGTCTACGTCATTGGTTACTCGGCCGCTTACTGGCCTCATTCAAACGGGGAATAGGCCTTCTGTTAAGGACCTTATAACCGACCTCGGGTGGGTGCCATGGAAGCGCTTCACCGATGGCTGCATCTGTCATGATACGCAGCTTTGCTGTCACGTGCGACGATGGTGTTCTCGATCCGGGCTTGGTAGTGCGCTGCGCAGTGTTGTCACAACTACCAATTAAGTTCGCTGATATCGGGAGTACTATTCTGCGGGCAGGACAAAGCGTGATGTTGTTCTACCGATACGGCTGAGAGATATGCGTGAATACTACCTATCGAGCTTTATCGGTGCCAGTCGTGTTCGATACAACAATTCAGATAGCAGTGAGATCACCGTGGGCCTCGTGTTTCCGTGCGCCGGGTACGCTGGGTTCGCTCTCGTCTTTAAGAGCATTCGTACGTTTCTCGGGTTGTCTCACGTGTCCGCCATGGTGCCATTTGGACCGGTTGTTTTATGTGCATTTGTACCCTGCGAGGGGTCAAGTTTATTTGTTTACTGCTGGGCCTACAAGCGCAATGCAAACTGTCGTCATACGGGCCGCGTCGCCTTGAACCCACTTGACTCGTCGGACCTGATCGCGCGGAGCCCTCATGACTGGCCGGCAGTGACTGGCCTCATGAACACCTCGCCTGCCGCCGCCAGTCGGACCAGCTGTCGCAGGTTGGGCCGTCCCGCCGCCTGGTCGTATGCATGCGATTGTTTAAACAGCTGCCCGCCGGGCCCCACACCTCGGCCCATCTGTGTGACCCCGGGCGCTAAACGCCGTAATAGTAGTGCCGATGGAGCTGGCAGCCGGGTCACATGTCGGCGTCATTAGCGCCCACGCGCGCGCGCGCGCGGCCCGGTCTGTCCGGCCGCCCGCCGACGCTGTGCGTGTCCGCTCGCTTCGGCTCATCGCACTGTCACCAGCCATGCGAGCTGATAGTACCACAGTGGAGGGAAAGATGCTATTTTGCAGCATATTAAAGTCATGCTGGCATGCGATAAGGTCTTATGTGATCTTGCTCGATGTGGTTAACGTTCGCCGGCGCTCTGTGTTTTGTCGGCACGCGGTTCATTCGGTATGACCGCATTCTACCAATAGCACACCCCACCCGTTACAGTATAAACTAGCGGATGCGGCGGCGTTACCCTGTACGCGAACTGCAAGCTTTGTGCGGGTTGTTTGGCTGTGGCTCTGGCGGATCTGGCTGCCGTTACGAATGTTTAGCGTGGCACGTTAGGTTGAAGGTCAAGTTACGCTCAAAGTTTAAACGCTCGGTAACTTGAGAACTGCTGGATGATAGTGGATAAACATTCGCATATATCTGGTAGGCATGTCTTCATTTGGCTGTGCAACGCGTTGGGAACGAGCCATCAATGGCGAGATATGATGAAAAGTTGAAATTTTCAGATCACGCGCCACGACGGTCGAAACTCAGCCAATCCAAACTGCATTATGATGCCATGATGACATGCGGTATTTCTGAAAAGCTGAAGGGTTGCGTCAACAGCGTCCCGGCGGTGGTCTTGCGGCTTTGAGCGGAGCCGCGGTGTCTCCAAAAAGCTGAAGGGTTGCATCAAACTACTCCCCGGCGACGGCTTTACGGCTTAGAGCAAAGCCTGGGCACCACATTTGGCGGCCATCACCAGCGCCCTTGCGATGGACTCTGGAAATCAGCGACATGTTGTGTGGAGCATGGCGTAGGTATCAAACATTTCAATAAAGCTGACGGAGATTTGACTTGCGAACACCAGCGCAAACTCTGGGTGAGAAAATGAATCGCCACGTGCTACGAACTGGAAGCACATGGTCCATCTCATTAGTTCAGGTTAGTACCGATTGCCCTTTTGAACTTCCCAGTAAAATGTATTCGTATTGAACGACTGGGTTACACCCCAGCAAGACCGCATTGTAGCTCGCGCCAGTGCAACTCGTCGGACGGCCCAGTGCGGGCCACATTTCATGCTCTATTTACCGTGCTGATCAGACCGGGCTTGGAACAGCGCCTCACGTTAGAAACGCTGGCCAATCCGTTTGACCTCAGAAAAGAACCCGCGGTGAGGGTGCGAGGCTGTAGCTTTCGCTGCCGTGCGGTGCCGCCCGGCGCCGGCCTGTGGTCGTCCACACGTCTGAAGTGTGGACCTCTCACTTGGGATGGTGCTCATGTGTGACCAGACCTCGGCAGAGACACTCCGGGAGAGCCGCGTGTGGCTCCGTCTCCAGACGTACCTGCGGGAATGCGCGTAGGTAACTCCCCGCGGTCCGGCATGGCTTCTTCGATGTCAGCATTGGTGTGAACCGATGGGGCTCTCGTAAGGTTTGTGTTTGCAGTTATGTCCAGGTCGTAGTGGCGTAGGGCAGTGTGCTCGCTCCGTGTATTTTATTACGTCACTGCGGTCGGATGCGACGTGCCGATTGCGGTTGGGGATCAACATGAGTGAGCGATGTTTATGACAATCGCGAGGGACTTGTCATTCGGGCAAACGTATGCGGAAGTGTGCCATTTAATTGAACGTAAGCACATCTTAACTTGCCATCCGTAGTGCAGAATTGAGCGTGAAAACGTTAAGTCGGGCTCCAAAGCAGAGCCGTCCACGACAAGAGTCCCGCCACTCGTACCTCATCTGTTTCCGTGGTTTCCCGCGGCATGGCCCAGGTTTCGGTCGCATCTGCAGTGTCGAGACAGGTCGCACCTGGCGAGCGATGCCGGAGGTTTGTGCGCGGCGTCATGCGAGCCCCGCAGCGTCGAGACAGATCGCACCTGGCGAGCGATGCCGGAGGTTTGTGCGCGGTGTCATGCGAGCCCCGCAGCGTCGAGACAGGTCGCACCTGGCGAGCGATGCCGGGGGTTTGTGCGCGGTGTCATGCGAGCCCCGCCGCGTCGAGACAGGTCGCACCTGGCGAGCGATGCCGGAGGTTTGTGCGCGGCGTCATGCGAACCCCGTAGTGTCGAGACAGATCGCACCTGGCGAGCGATGCCGGAGGTTTGTACGCGGTGTCATGCGAACCCCGTAGTGTCGAGACAGATCGCACCTGGCGAGCGATGCCGGAGGTTTGTGCGCGGCGTCATGCGAGCCCCGTAGTGTCGAGACAGATCGCACCTGGCGAGCGATGCCGGAGGTTTGTACGCGGTGTCATGCGAACCCCGTAGTGTCGAGACAGATCGCACCTGGCGAGCGATGCCGGAGGTTTGTGCGCGGTGTCATGCGAGCCCCGCAGCGTCGAGACAGGTCGCACCTGGCGAGCGATGCCGGAGGTTTGTGCGCGGCGTCATACAAGCCCCGCCGCGTCGAGACAGATCGCACCTGGCGAGCGATGCCGCGGGTTTATGCGCAGCGTCATGCAAGCTGACGGTTGCCGGGGCTACGGTCGATGGTGGCTGGCGTGGACGGGCGTGGACGGCTGTGGGGGCGTGGTGTTGGTGATGTGGCCGGTTGGACCCTGACGCCACGGACCGTGCGGTATGCGAATATAAACAGAAGGCGCGTCCGTCCACATCCGCCCGGCCCTCCCCTCCCCTCCCCCCCCCCTCGCGATGCGGTTGCTGCCCAGTGGCTGTGCAACCGCATAAGGGTGGGAACAAAGCAGGCTTTTGATTAGCTTTTTTCGCAGCAACACGCGAGGGTCGATGCCGTTTTACCTAGATTGTGGAGGGTAGCCGCCTCTGCTCCCGTAATCTGACCCTCTGGCGCCTGCTCGCTTCATGTGAGACACTGGCGGGCTAGGAAAGGCCTGTCTCCCGGTTTTCGACCCCCGTGATCCGTTGACCAGCCACCGTGAGTGGTCAACTTCAGCACTGAGTGGTTGTATTTTAGCCGGGGAACACGTGCTTGTGGTCTTTTACGGATGAGCTGCGCGTTTGAGAAAAGAGAGGTATGGGGCTCCATTCTCTGCTGTTCTTGCCCTTCCTGCCAGAGTGGAAGAAGGTGCGCCATAGCCTCAGCTACTGAGTGCGTCCTAAAGCTCCGGTGACAACGACAACATGTTTGTGATTTGTCTCCCTACGTCAGCTGTGAAGGACGATATTGTGCAGCCGCGCTGCAGATAGGCGATATTGTTTGATTGATAAAGTGCGACCGGCTGGCATTTGCGCCTCCATTGACACAGTGCTAGCGCATCCAACACGTGATGCGATGGTTTGCGGCACGACTCCGTGATGCGAGATCAACACCCATCGCACTATCAGACATACTGTGTCAATATGCCACCTATCTGCTACGTGACAGTGCAGCGTTGTCCTTCAAAACTGGTGAGGTAGTATCAGACGAGAGAAAACGCCGGATGCAGTGTCAACACTGTCCACACGATCGAGGGAGAAGACTGAGAGATTGCGCCTACATCGGATTAAGTTTATGGGAGAGATGGAAAGAAACGAGGAGAGGAGAAGGAACAGTACCGAATCGGTTGGCGCGCGAAGCATTTTACGGCACTGCCGTCCGTCCGCGGCTGATAGACCGCAGATGAACTCATTGTTCACCCTCCCAGCTATTCCACCAGGGGACGGGGCGGCTGGGCTGGCTACAGTGATCGCTCATAACCACGCATCGTGCTGCTCATCCGTCCTGCTACTGCCCCAGGGCTGCAGCTCGGCTGGTCGGAACGCCCGTCCGCAACAGTGTACCGTGTTATGAGTTCGAACCTAACTACCAGACCGGTGCCCCCCCCCCCCCCCCCCCCCTCCCCCGTCTGGTACCTGGATGACCTGCACCACGTCTTTTGTCCGCACGACTGTCGGTGCACTCTTGGCGTCAGCTGACGACCTGGTGGTGCGGCCATGTCTCACCGTGACGCCCGACACCAGGGTCGGCCAGTCTGGACACGTTGCTGGACGAGTTGCCGCTCTGTCTGACCGTGACGTCCGACACCAGGGTCGGCCAGCCTGGACGCGTTGCTGGACGAGTTGCCGCTCTGTCTGACCGTGGCGTCCGACACCAGGGTCGGCCAGCCTGGACGCGCTGCTGGCGGAGGCGCCGCCGTCGCCGCCGGCGCTGCTGGAGACGCTCAACTACGCCGACAAGCTGCTGTACATCTACACCTCGGGTACCACCGGCATGCCGAAGGCGGCCATCATCAAACACTCGCGGTGAGCGGGCGGTGGGCGCGCCAGGCGCCGCGGTCAGGGCGACGGGTGACCTCACCCCCGCCCTCCGCCCCCCCCCCCCTCCCCCACCACTCGGTATGCGGTCGCTTCTTGTGTGGCAAGGCCATGCTCTCGCGCGTGATTGCGGAATGGAACCAGCCTGCAGCGACCCTCTAGAGTTGGTCGCTGCAGGCTAGAAAGCCGTGAACTTTGTGCATTTCTCGGTCTGTTGCCTTCGGCCACCGCCCACCACGGAGAACTCGTTCCTGACTGGCTTCAGCACCTTGAGGGGAGCAGCATTAAAGGGGGAGCAGCATTAAAAGGGGAGCAGCAGCTGCTTGAGAGGAGCAGCACTAAACTCTATGTATTTCACCATACGTCGCCACAACGGAACTGTTCCCCACCAGTCCCTGTTCTTGTGCCACCTCGTTCGGGTTGTATTTTGTCACTCGGATGACGGCCGGCTCGTAGGCCGCCCGCCCGCCGTCCGTGCATGAATTGGCGGCGCCCCGCGGCTCTCGCGTGGCTGCCGCCGCCACGCCTCGAGCGCGCCTGGTGGCCGCTGACACCGGATCTGTAAACGGACTGAGCTGCCGCGCCTCGCGCGGGGTTAGTGCTGGTCGGCTGCGCGGGATATCGTTTGACGTTCTGACGGGAACTGGTTCTCGTCCGTCGCGAGATTCGTCCTCTCGCCGGCACAACGCGGTTATGCAATCACTGCAGCTTTTTTGGGTGGTTGCACATGAGTAGCTGGCAAGGTAACCCGCTGTTTTGCAGGCGACTTCAAATGTCGCCGTGACGCCGGTCTCCGAGAAATTACAACTGCGGCAGGTGTGCTAACTGTGCGGATGATGATGACCATCTTAGTGTTTTATATCATGTCATGGATCATAGAATGAATGTATTTAAAGATGTGTGATGTTTGCACAACGTTGTCGCAGCACTTGCCGTTTGCGAGTATCCATCGGTGACCTAATCTACAGAGAAAACCACCCAGCATCGCGGAATATGTCGTGGGGGCGATTCGGAAAGCCGCCACACTGCTTTGGTCGCGGTGTAATGACACGCTTCTCATTCACCGCTGGGGCTCGCTCCTCCTTCGCGAACCCACGCGGGTGGGGCGACGCGTCTCGCGGCCGGTGGCACCGGCCCCGGTTCCGCAGGTTTCTCCGCTCCCGGGTCGCTCTGTGTGCTCGCCAACGACGTCGAGCGTCAGGAGGCGCGTGATTGCCTGCGGACGCCGCTGATTCCGCTGCGCTGAGAGGTCTGGTGTGTGACTGGACGGCGCCGGACCATCGCACTCGCTGGGTGTCTGTCGCACTCGCCTGCGGTCGCGGTCCTCCACGGAGCGCGCCCGCCCCCGCGCCGATGACGCCTCGCGCCGCCGCGCCACTAACCCGGTTCCTGGGCGCGCGCCTGCGCCTGTGCCCCAGCTTCCTGATGATGTCGATCGGTACGTACCTCATGATGGACTGGCGCGGCACGGACGTGGTCTACTCGCCGCTGCCGCAGTACCACACCACCGGCGGCTGCATGGGCACGGGCGCCGCGCTGCTGCACGGCGTCACCGTCGCGCAGCGCCGCAAGTTCTCCGTGTCGAACTTCTGGTCCGACTGTATCCAGTACGAGGCGACGGTGAGGCGGCGGCGGCCGAGCGCGCGCGTGCCGTACCGCGCGTGCAGATGCACGCGTCCCCAGCGGCGGTGACGGGCTAACCAGGCGACGCGCCCCTCTGACGCTTTGCCCGGTGCCAGGTTCGTCTTCTTCACGGCCGGCATCTTCCACATGATGGGTCTGTCGAGCGCGGATGTGATCTACGACCCGCTGCCGCTGTACCATTCGGCCGGCGGCATGCTGGGGGTGGGCATCATGATGACGCACGGCGCCGGACTGCTGATACGGCGCCGCTTCTCCGCGTCCGGCTACTGGCGCGACGTGTCCGAGCACGGCTGCACGGTACGCTCCCCCTCCCCCCGGCGTGGTCGAGCACGGGTGCATGGTACGCCCTCCCCCTCCTGCCGGGCCCATCTCCCCGGTCCGCCCGCTCGTCCTCTCCCGATCCCGGATAGCCCTGGGTCCTCCCTCGGTCGCTCGCGTCCGCATCGCGCGTTCAGGTGTTGCCCGGCGTGTTGATGGAGCCGCTCTGGCTCGACGCCGCGTGCCCGTCCCATGGCCGTCCCGAGACCGCCGCATTCAGTCGTCTCGGTCATGGCCGCCTCTGAATTTGTCTAGGCGGTCTTAAAGTGTAAATCCATCTTCTTAAATCAATGACATCGTTTTCTCCACACGGCCTTTGTCATGAAGCCCTCGCCTTTCCTTTCGATAACCTTCCATGGCCTTTCTAAGACCTTTTACTTTTCCCAAGGAGTTTACGGCATCCCTTTCCAGATAGGGCACGGTCTGTTTCGCATCTTCTGCTTGCCCGACGCACGTTTGCGACCTATCTGAAATCCATTTATTTATGATAGTCTTTTGCGGCTCCTGTCGTGCTCTCGCGTCTGCTATCGTACACCATCTCATCCCCACTTTTACATCTAAGAATAAATGACGATAACCTAGCGGCTCTGTGCCAAGCTTTTCGCGTTCTCCCCGTTCACTTATCCCTTTGTTTGCTCTTTCCTCTTGAGACAATCCGTCTGGTTTCACTCATCTCTCCCCGTTCCCCCTGAAAGCTTCCCATCACCTTCCTAATGCTCCCAGCATCGTTCCAGTCCACTGCGTAATGTCAGCATAGACTCCACACATATCTGAATGTGTATGACAATCGGCGCGTCTTTGCCCGGAGTCGTTCTTTCCTTGCTCTCCCATGCCGTGACTGGCTCATCCTTTCGCCTCGCCCCGCCTCAGTGCCACTGGCGTTGCTCATGTGCATGGAGGTGCACGCCCTTGTGAATGCTTTCACTTCACCTGTTTGCTTGCATAACCCGCACCCGTTATGCGCCGGCTAATGGTCTGTCGTTTTTGTCCACATGCTTGTGCCGGCGGATGTGGCGCCCGTTATGTGCTGGCGCGTGCATGGCAAAGCTTGACCGTCGGTTCCCCGCACTGCTACTCTTTTCCGGTGTAATGTAACCACGGAGAACAGGTGCTTGGCGAGCATGTACTTGTCTGCTGGCTCGTGTCAGCTGTGGCGTGGCGGCCGCGAGCATCGCCGCATGAGTTCCGTCTCGCTTGATTGGGCTGCGGCCAGTTGGTGTGTTGTGCAATGCTCCGACTCGGCCAAGACGGGGGAGGAGCGTTGCGAAAGTGGCTTACGTTAGGTGGCCGGTTGTTTGCCCTTTCTGGGTTCACTGACTGGGCTCACAGTATGTGTGTGTGTGTGTATGTGTTTTATAGCTTGAAATGAGTCAGTTGATTGGCTTAGTTTTGTGTGCTTGGCTTTTGCATCTTGTTTGTTAGCTCCGACGAGGAGTGTTTTACAAACCGATGAGGTTTGTTGCATGTGTACCACAATCATGCATCACAGCTGGCAGAGGCAGCTGGGTTCGTCTTCTGACTGTCCAGATACTGTTTCCCGCCGTGTCCATCTCTTGGGACGGACCACCGACCCCACTGTCCAGTGTCGACGCTCCTCGCCGCGACCTCCCCTCGTGTGCTCTGTGGTCGCCTGTGTGGGCACCTGCCCGATGTTGTGACCCCGCGCGGCCGCCGGCGTCGCGAGCGTGCGTGGGGTTTAACGGCGTCCGTCCGGCGGGACTCGCGGGCCACCCGCAGGTGGCTCAGTACATCGGCGAGACGTGCCGCTACCTGCTGAACCAGCCGGAGCGGCCGCACGACAAGCAGCACCAGGTCAGTGGCCGGCGCGCCGCCGCCGCCTCCGCTGGCGTGGGGGCGCACAGCGGCGGCGCCGGTGCGAACGCCTGTGCCCCTCCCCCGTGGGAAGTGGCAGGGTGACCAGACCATGTCCTGCGCGCTATCTGCTGGTTAGGTCGATGGGTGGGAGCTCCTCTCGAGCGAAGGCCGTCACTGTGTCTGGAGATCGCCTCTCCGCTCCAGGAGCTGGCGTTCGTTCACTAGGAGTGCGCGGGTGCCATGACGCACGTGCTTGCTCGCGGCTGCGCGTGTTTGGACGGAGGCCGGCCCGTCAGCGCGACGCCGGCCGCCGACACCTTCGGTCCAGTCGTGGCGTGGTGGGCCCCGTGCCGTTCCGATGCGGGGCGCAGCTGACCGGACTGTGGCGCGTGCGGCAGATTCGTCTCATGTTCGGCAACGGACTGCGGCCGCAGATCTGGGAGGAGTTCCAGTCGCGTTTCAACATACCCAAGATCTGCGAGTTCTACGGCTCGACGGAGGGCAACGCTAACATCGGTGAGTGGCCGCGGTGGCGCTGGACGCAGCGACGCCGCCAGCGCGCCGGCTGAGTGGCAGGCTTGAGGGTCAGCTGACGTGGGAGATTATTCACTGATTTGTGTGAGCTTAGGCGCCGCTTTGAGCATCCTGCAGTCGGCTGATCTGTGAATTGCGGCACCAAATTGTCTCGCTCCGCTGGCTCACGCATGCTTATTCAACGGCTGGCGGGCTTCATTCTGTTGGCTGCGTGGATTGCGATTGGAACCCTTTTCTTCCGACGTTTGCAATAGTGGATGTCTCAACTCCTGCACTCCGTTAACTCATAATTGGCGGTTGGAACCTGCTGTTTTGTGCCGACTGGTTGGCCCTGACGTGACCTTACTGTGAACCCCATGTCAGCATGTTCCACGCCTCCCCGACCATCAGCGGAAGGGTCAGCCAGATGACTGGTTACTTAGAGACATGCATCTGTAGTGCTTTTGTTGTTTCATTTCTGTAAATGCGCTGTCGTATGACTTCGTTGTGGCGCATTACCAGAAGGCGTTGTCGTTTTGTAGACCCTTGAATAATGAGGCGACTGGTACTGTAGATGGCAGCAGTGATAAGGACAATACAACCCGTTTTTTCAGTTGCCGTGGACTCAAGGGAACTGTTTGTAACGCACTAAAGCCTCACATTGCTGGGCTGCCTGACATTACTTCCAGATTTTATTTCGTTTTTTCTTCACTAAAACGCTATCCTTTTATGTACTGAGTGCATGGGACTGGTCCACTCAATTTTGTCGGGTCCCTGAGATTGTTTGGATAAACGTTCAGTTTCATATCCTTGAGTGAAAATATAAATGGCGTGTAAGCTAACCAGGTTGAAACGTTGTGGCCTCTTAAGTCGTTTTAAGACATATTGAATGCCATTTTTCCAGACAGTATGAGTGCCATTTTACTTGGTTGGGGCGTTATAACGCATAATTTATGACCAAAAGGACCACAGTAATGAATCGTTGCTGCAAGACTCCGTGGGTATCATGACAAAGACGAGCGTTTCACGGTCTGCAAAAGGCGCGTAATAACCCGGAGGTCGGATCGATTGTCAAGACGGCCGTGTTTGTTGCTTTCCCTTCGAAAGAGTATTAACAGTCGAGACTGTTGGCTGATTTATTTGTTATTGGAACGACGCGTCCATGATTTGGGTGTGCTGCTCTTTTCAGCTTCCACTATCAGCACATGGTGTGCTTTAATGGAGACCATGGAGGCATTCATAAACGCTTACAGCACATCCTGTACCTGGTGTGTCGCACTGCGGCACTGGGTATCGCGACACCGCGAGTGTGACCCGCGCCGGTGGCTGTCGCACGTGTCGGCCGCACCGGACCGCCCGTCGTCTTCCAGCTACCGTACCGTGCCGTCCTTGCTAGCGCTGCTGCCGGCTCCTTGTGCCGCCTTGCTGTCGTGCTGCTCCCCTGCTGCTCCGCCCGCCGTGCTGTCCTCGCCGCCGCGTCGCCGTCCTGTCCTCTCTGTCCTCGCCGCCGTGCCGCCGTCAGTCAGACTGTCTCGCCGTACGTGTCCACGCTGTGTCCTGTGTCCGTGTGCCCGCGCTGGCGCCGTGCCGTCACGCCACCGGGCGGACGCGCGGACACGCTGTGTCCTGTATCCGTGTGCCCGCACCGGCGCCGTGCCGTCACGCCACCGGGCGGACGCGCGGACACGCTGTCGGTGACGAGAGCGCGTAGCCTGTGTCGCGGACGGGCGGCACGGGTCGACCGGAGTGAGACGCGCCGCCGTCCTCTGTCGCCAGTGAACATGGAGGGCAAGACGGGCGCCGTCGGCTTCGTGCCGCCGCTCGTTCCCTGGGTCTACCCGTGCAAGCTGATCCGGGTCGACGAGGACACGGGCGAGCCCATCCGCGACAAGAACGGGCTCTGCGTCAAGTGTGAAGCAGGTAACCGGCCGGCAGTCTGCCGCGGGTGGTGTCGAGTGGCGCTGTCTCGTGTCAGGTGACCATCAGGCGGCGAATCTGGCAAGCAGAAGTCCAGGAGTGTGCTTTTGATGACGTTCTGCTGGCTTTGCGCTTGCGCGCCGATCGTGTGATCCGTGTGCGATCGTGTGCGAGCTACCTCGGCATATGAAGGGCGTCTGTCGAAAGATGTACATTTTAGGCCATAGGTCTGTATTCGTTTGTTCCATGTGAAAAATGTGTGCCCTAACTCATAGAAAGGGGCTGCTGTTCCATGTGATAAACGTGTGCCCTAACTCATAGAAAGGGGCTGCCAAATTGTGTTCTGCGTTTTCAGACCTCTGATTTTACGTATCTTATCCCGTCTCTGACTACTGACCATGTGGTGCCGCCGTCAGCCACTGTCCTTGGCCGTCTGTGACCTGCGTGTGGTGCCGCCGTCAGCCCGTCTCTGACTATCCTGTCCGGGCGTGTGTGCGCGTCTGGCCAGGCCCACGTTCTGACCACTGTCCGTGTGGTGCCGCCGTCAGCCCGTCTCTGACTACTGACCGTGTGGTGCCGCCGTCAGCCCGTCTCTGACCACTGTCCGTGTGGTGCCGCCGTCAGCCCGTCTCTGACCACTGTCCGTGTGGTGCCGCCGTCAGCCCTGTCCTGGCCACTGTCTGACATGTGGTGCCGCCGTCACCCGCCTCTGACCACTGTCCGTGTGGTGCCGCCGTCAGCCCGCTACTGAATGTCCGTGTAGGTCCGCCGTCAGCCCGTCTCTGACCACTGTCTGTATGGTACCGCCGTCAGCCTGTCTCTGACTAATGACGTTGGGTGCCGCCGTCAGCCCCGGTCTATTGACCACTGTCCGTGTGGTGCCGCCGTCAGCCCGTCTCTGACTACTGACCGTGTGGTGCCGCCGTCAGCCTGTCTCTGACTACTGTCCGCGTGGTGTCGCTATCAGGCCACGTCTGATCACTGCCCGTGTGGTACCGCCGTCAGCCCGTCTCTGGCCACTGCCCGTGTAGTGCCGCCGTCAGCCCGTCTCTGGCCACTGCCCGTGTAGTGCCGCCGTCAGCCCGTCACTGACCACTGTCCGTGTGGTGCCGCCGTCAGCCCGTCTCTGACTACTGACCGTGTGGTGCCGCCGTCAGCCCGTCTCTGACTACTGACCGTGTGGTGCTGCCGTCAGCCCGTCTCTGACTACTGTCCGCGTGGTGTCGCTATCAGGCCACGTCTGATCACTGTCCGTGTGGTGCCGCCGTCAGCCCGTCTCTGACCACTGTCCGTGTGGTGTCGCTATCAGGCCACGTCTGATCACTGTCCGTGTGGTGCCGCCGTCAGCACGTCTCTGGCCACTGTCTGTGTGGTGCCGCCGTCAGCCCGTCGCTCACTACTGACCGTGTGGTGCCACCGTCAGCCCGTCTCTGGCCACTGTCCGTGTGTTGCCACCGTCAGCCCGTCTCTGACTACTGTCCGTGTGGCGTCGCCGTCAGCCCGTCACTGACCACTGTCCGTGTGGTGCCACCGTCAGCCCGTCTCTGGCCACTGTCCGTGTGTTGCCACCGTCAGCCCGTCTCTGGCCACTGTCCGTGTGTTGCCACCGTCAGCCCGTCTCTGACTACTGTCCGTGTGGCGTCGCCGTCAGCCCGTCACTGACCAATGTCCGTGTGTTGCCGCCGTCAGCCCCCCGTGACCGCTGTGGGTCTGGTGCCGACAGGAGAGCCGGGAGAGTTCATCGGCATGATGATCCGTAACAACCCGGTACGAGACTTCCACGGCTACGCTGATAAGAAGGCCACCCAGAAGAAGATTGTGCACGACGTGGACAGGAAGGGCGACTGCGCGTTTCGCTCAGGTGTGTGTGTGGGGGGGGGGGGGGGGGGGAGGGGCGCTGTGTGCACAGGTGCGTGAGTGCATTGCTCGCACGCGTATAGCGGACAGGGCCATCGTCACACTACCACGTGCTAATGGCAAATCCTGTACGCAATTGAGAGGCGGCGTCTCATGCACTGCCTCTGTTAGCACCTTTACAGATGGCGTTTCATCGCCAGATGGCAGTGTGACTTATGAACGGTTGGTATGGTGTAGGGCGGCGGCGCCACTGCGCCACGCGGCGCCTCGGTGCGCCGCGCAGGACGGCGCTCCGCTGGGTGCCGACGTCGGGTCTCGCGCGCAGGTGACATCCTGGTGAGCGACGAGGACGGCTACTTCTACTTCAAGGATCGGACAGGCGACACGTTCCGCTGGCGGGGCGAGAATGTCTCCACCACTGAGGTGGAGGGCGTCATACAGAAGGCTCTCGGGAGCACCATGGCTGCCGTCTACGGCGTGGAGGTCAGTCGTCTGATGTGTTGCTTTACAAGTCGGTCGCTGGCGGGTGAGGTGGCTGGAAAACTGTCGATGATTTCAGCATGCATTTCACGTTCAGATCCTCAAAGGTGTGTCTGATCATGTTGTTGCCGCATTTTCGGTGTTTTGTTCCCGTTGTCCGTCTTTGCTGCGTCGTTGTGAGTATCGCCCTGTTTTATACACATGAGTGAATGAGATCGCAGACAATATCAGGTGTACTTGAAAAAATGACGTCTTTGTTCAAATGACATTGAGCGTGTCAGCCTCTCGTCGCTGGTCTCTCTGAAATATCCCTAGTGAGAGTTAACCACTCATGCGTTTGGCTGTACCGTCTGATCGGCTTGAAGCTGGTCGTCGCACTACGAGCCCATGAACGGCGTATTCATCAGGATAATAACTAGCTGATCTGCCTCAGATGAGTGGAATCCGTCCAGCCTGTTAGTGTTTTCGTAATCCCATTTGAACGATGGCCTTTCAAATAGTGATTCCGGATTAGTCCGTCATTGACTGTGGTAATTTTTTACCGATAGCTGCACGTGTTCGCATCCCTCGCCCGGCTTAGGTTAGGTCTACAGCGGATATGCATTAGGAAAATGCATGCAGCTGGTTGGAAAATTTGCCCTAGAGGTTGTAATAAAAGACCTATCGTACTAGCGGACTTTACTTTACTCTGCTCCTAGCGGACTTTGTTTGCTTGCTGCTTTGGGTGGTCTAGAAATTGGAGGTGACAAAGACCATCGCAGTATAAAGACATATCATTCACCATGCATATTTTGCCTGTACATTATTTATTTACTGTCATGTCAGAAGACCACTGTTTGGAACGTGCCGTCAACAGATTGTAAACCTCGTTATTCTTAAAAATTGGCCTTGTCCGAAAAACCGTGGTGGTCGTTCTATCATTCTCCAAAGCAGAGAATGTTTGCGCTGTGATGTGAAGCGTAATGTTCCATTGTGCCCTCGTTAAGTGCGATGTTTTGTCAGCACACGGTAGCTTACCTTATGCCGCCAATGCCCGTTAGGACTTACTTGTAGACGAGTACTTGCACGAAGAGTGGGAAAAGCTTGCAGATTGTGCAAGAATGCATGTTCCGAAAACGGCGATGGAATTTTTTTTTTACTGTTCCACCAAACAATGGTTCCGACGATGCTAGAGCTGGTTTCCATCCATTGAGCGTAAGGGAGATCTCGCCGTTTCAGGCATTACCGTAGGCACTGTCCCGATCTGGGCAGTCTGTGTCGTCAGCACCGCCCTGGTGTGGCGTCAGTGCCGCCCCGGTGTGTCGTCAGCACCGCCCTGGTGTGTCGTCAGCACCGCCCTGATGTGTCGTCAGCACCGTCCTGGTGTGTCGTCGGCACCGCCCTGATGTGTCGTCAGCACCGCCCTGATGTATCGTCAGCACCGCCCTGATGTATCGTCAGCACCGGCCTGGTGTGTCGTCGGCACCGTCCTGGTGTGACGTCAGCACCGCCCTGGTGTGTCGTCAGCACCGCCCCGGTGTGTCGTCAGCACCGCCCCGGTGTGTCGTCAGCACCGCCCTGGTGTGTCGTCAGCACCGCCCCGATGTGCCGTCAGCACCGCCCCGGTGTGTCGTCAGCACCGCCTGGTGTGCCTCAGGTGCCGGGCGTCGAGGGTCGGGCCGGCATGGCGGCGGTGGCTGACCCGGACGGTCGGTTGGACCTGGAGCAGCTCGCGCTCGGCATCCGGCGTTCCCTGCCCACCTACGCCCAGCCGCTGTTCCTGCGCAAGGTCAAGCACCTGGACATGACAGGTGAGGTGCGACGCTGGCCGATGCGGGCCGCTGTGCGACGCTGTCCGATGCGGGCAGCGGTGCGACGCTGGCTGATGCAGGCAGCGGTGCGACGCTGACCGATGCGGGCCGCGGTGCGACGCTGGCCGATGCGGGCAGCAGCGCAGACCGACCGCCGTGCTGACACGTGATGTCCTGTTGACGCTGCGCTTTCTGCGGCGTAATGGCACTGGAGTCCGCTGACTTTGTGTTGGTGTGGACTGTCATGGATTTGTAATATTTCATAGGGATGCGTGGTCCACACTACACATCACCACAGAGTGAAGTACTGAACATCATTGGCATTTACTGTACCGTCGAAATGCCGGTGTTTTTTGTCATACCTTCCGTGAAGTAGTTTTATGCGCGCATCCAGTGCTTAAATGCTGCTTCCCCATACTGTTAATAGAACCCTGGAACCCTCAATAATCACTCAAAGCCCTTAGAATTCTCAATAGTCACCCAAGACCTTAATTGAGCTGAGGGCGTGATTTTCTCAGCGGGTGAGCTGGCGAATGCGTCACCAGCTGATTGGTCATCCATGCGTATTATCCGTAGGTTTTTTCTCCACTTACCTTCTGGCCCTGTTTTAGAATATGGAGCAAGGCAAAGACGGCGTAATTTTGGTTTTGGAACGCCCCCGAGTACGACATCGTATTAAATAACGCGGGTCGCACCGCAACTCATGTAAAAATTCTCCCCCGCACTGGCCTCTGCCTGCTTGTGCATTCAGTATCTACCTACTGTGCAAGGATAAATCCGGAGCCGTAAGATTTCTTTGGATAAATAGCGAGAGCAGCATGCGGTGCACAGTGATGTCTTACGCATGTGATAACGCATTGTTGGCGTGTTCGGATGCCTAGCATTCCACGTCATAGCATGGAATGCCTCGTCAAATTTGTGGACAATGGTAACTGCCTTTGGAAGCGGGCACAATCAGATTCTTCGAGCAAGTATGACCGCAGGAGTTGATCAGCAACTTTCAGTATGTCACGTCAGTGTATTTTTCTATCGCCCATCGTGCGTTTCGTAACCAGTTTAGTATTGCTCGGGTCGACTGCTTGCCGGATAAGACCAGAAGTGCACGCGCAGACACTGATTGGTGCTCTGGCTGCAGTGACGTCACACAACATCGCTCCGCTTCATATTTAAAGGTCAAACCCTTAACAGCTCATTGGCTGCGGGTTTTTTTTTGTCCCGAGAAACGTAGTAAAAACGCGCGCTGTGAATATGATGGTACCCTATTACCCCTCAGTGATATATCACTGAAACTGTAATAGATATGCGATGTTATGTGATGGCAATACGGCTAGTGTACGTTCAGCTGTCTTCACCTTCATTGCGCATTTCAGGGACTTTCAAGTTCAAGAAGGTGGTTCTTCAGAAGGAGGGCTTCGACATTGGCGCCGTCAAGGACGAGATGTTTTTCCTCGACACGCGCGCTGGCCACTACACCCCGCTGACCCGGGAGGTCTACGACAAAATCTGCTCGGGTCAGATGCGCCTGTAGTCGGCCTTTGCGCTGCGGGCGGCGGCGACACGCGTACAATCGAGGTGCCTGTCGGGCCGGGCGGTGGGAGGCGGCGCAGGCGGCCTGGGCTCCCGCGCGGCTGTCCCAGTCCAGGGACCTCGTGTAGGGGGCACCCCAGCGCAGTAGCTTTCTCAGACTCAGCTGTTTGGACGTTTGTTGGGACAGGCCTGGGCGGTGACGTATGGGTTAGCCCGCGGGATGTTTTTTTGGTTTGGCCCCGAAGGGCGGTGTTGTCAGTTGTACTCGACGTGTCAGGCTTTCGGAATTGTTTTGAGACCTCTATAGACCACGTTGCTCATCATGCTCAGCACTGCTGGACAAGTACTAAACGACATAGAACAAAGACACTTGCCTCTGTATTTGTATTAGGAAGGCAAGTCTGTTGCCTGTGTTCGTCTGTTCTGAGACGGCGGCGTGGTGTTGGTGTTTTGTCGTGATGCCGTCATTGTTCTCGACCAAGCCGTCCAGCGTCGGTGTTCTGGCTGCGTCGGTGCGTGTGTCGGCCGGGTGTCTGTGCGGTGTGCCGGTTATGGTCCGTTAAGGAGGATCGCCAACAGCTATCGCTGCCAGTTGAGGTCGCCTCTGTGCGTCGCCGGCGACCTCAAACCTGACACCGCGTTTCGGTCTGGCCGTGGTCATGAGCTTTCTGACTGTCATGAGCTTTCTGAGCTTCTGTCTCTGCCTCGCGGAAGGTATTTGCGCGCCCGTGACGCCTAGCAGCCGTCCATAACGCTGTCAGCAGGTGCGGTAGTGCTGTTGTTGCTCGTTCGTTGCCCGTGCGACCCGTGAACCGGCAATGTCTTGCGCCGGGTCTCAGTGAGAAGTAGGCAGCACATGAATAGGTAACTGGCTGTTGTTGTCCGCTATTGCAATAATTTGCTCTTCGTTTCCTGTCGATGCGGTCGGAACCGACCAGATATGCATATTCAGCTGTTACCTGCCTGCCGCGCTGTAGGAAGCGACTGTCCGACGGATGCCTGCGGTCCGTTGCGTGCACAGGCACGTAAGAACCACCACCGAGATGACGCGTGAGACAATACGTACTCGTGAATCCAGGGTAACGATTGAGAACGATATGTACAACAAGACGTTGTGATGTTCGCGGTTGTCAGTGCATGACAGCGTGACGTACATGACAGTGTATGACGGACCGAAAAAATAATGACCTGTTCAAACCGGTAGGGTTAACGTAGTTATGTATTTCATATGTATGACATACTGTTTTACAGCTCATGTCATTGCTGGCTTCGCACCAAGATCTTGTTATTCCCAAACCAGCATGCTGACGTGCTCAGACGGACGCCCGCCAATTTGCTCCTGGCTCGGTCGTCGCGATGCTCACCAGATCGAAAACGCTGTCTGACGTTTTTTGGATTGAGAGACATGGCCTGTGCACGCGTTTGAGGCAGGTGGCGGGTCGCTGGCGGGTGCGATGCGGAGGGACCCGGACTGCCAGCTGTGTGCGCTATTGCAAGGGCCAATCGGTGATGCAACTGAGGCGGCCAAATGTCCCGGAGGGCTGAAACATCATCTTGCACAGACATTGCATCGACGCCTGTCCCATCTCACCTCGCATCCCGCCGGCGTTCCTGTGATTTGTCGGAGCGTGACCAGGAGGCGGGTTGGCGACTCTTGTTACATGACAATGAAGGACGTGCGGATGCGACGGAACACGATCCCGTGCTCGGCGTGGCGCGAGCACGAGGGTCCCCGTCGCGTCGCGCCCCGGGCCGCCAGAGGGTCGTGCGGTCCGCGCCGCGTCGCGCCCCGCTCCAGCAGCGCTGTGCCGCGGGCCCTGTCGGCGTGGCGACGGGCGGCGCCCTCTCGCGGCGGCGTCGGAGCTGGCTGTGGGGTGTGGCACCGGCCGGACACGGCGCCGATGTCCTGCCGCCTCGACCGGCCGCGCGCGGCCCGGTGGCGCGCGCGTGTGGTGGGCGGTGAAGCGCTGGTGTTACGCACAATAACGGCAGACGACGAGCGTGAGCTGCGCCTGTGAGCCCGGCGCCTCTGCGTCACTATATGGACCGCGCCACATCATCTCTACTTTGAATACAGACTTGGCTTGGATGCTGTCTTTTCGGGAGTGTTCATGCTGAGAATTATTATGCGGATGTTTTGAATATTGCCCAGGATAACTACCGTCGCATGCACACGTCCGTGGCACACATCCCGTTGACCTGTAACTACTCTGGCAAGGGCTCGAGTTTTGTTTTGCTGTTGTTTCTGCAGCAGCATGACAACCACTCCAAGTTTCTGCTGCAGACCTTCACCAGCGGCAGGAGCGCATTAAAGCCTGAAAGGTTCTAAGGTTCACAATTTGTTTGTACTCCGGCGTGCTTTTCATGACAGAAACACACATGGCCCAGTCTTGAGCAAATTTATCGGACGTCCAGACCCCTTCGTTCTGGTGACACGGTCGTCACGCGCCCGATCCAGGCTGGCTACGTGACCCGTGACTCCTTTCTGATCATGTCATTATGTTCTCAAAAGGACACATCGGGGGATAGCACGGGAATGATTTTCGGCGTACTTTTGCGAGACGGACGATTTAAAAAGATTGATTGGTTTCCGATGAGCTGATTTAGGTCCGGGGGCAGGGGATCGAGGTAGTAGAATTCCAATGGCAGCAGCATTTTCCCTGGAAATGGCTTTGACGATTATTTCAAGCGTTGAGGGTCAGAAAGTATACTACGAGCGAACGAACGAGACCGATTGACCCAGGACGCTGCTCAGGCGGACCCACTCAACCGGTACGTACCGACCGGGCTCGACTGAGCGACGACTCGTCTTGCACGGTGCCAGGCCGTACCCATACGAACGGGCAGACGCCGACCAGGCTTGGCCGACAGGCCAATATATCGACTCTGTTACAGAACCGCGCCCTAAAATGCTGCGTACGATTGTTAGTTTCAATCGGCTATGATCGGCATATGATAGTTTAAATCGGCAATCAGTCGGATAATATGAAGTGCAGGGCTATGTCATGCCAGGCTGTAACAGACCAGCCAGTATTTATGTTACTACTGGACAGCTTCGCCGGCCCTGCCGCCCGTCACAGCGTAAAGAGGCGCCGTCTTCCGCTGATTTCACGACAATTTATTTATTGATTGCTATATACTATGCCGTTTTATTAATTGCCGGAGCAAAAACATAATTTACAAACTGAGCTCCCTCCACACTCGTGTGCTTGTATCTCATCCAGAGCTTTATTGATAACCTTCGGAAAGGTCAGGAGCATAGATGATGTGCATGATAAGACATGTGTTTACTTTCAGAGCTTCTGGGAGGCAATACGTCATGGTCACGTGACTCCTAGTGCGTCACGGAGCGACATTTTCCAGATTTTCGCCGTATACAGCTTTAGGAAGTCAAGTGTCAGTCCCCTGGCATATAAACTTGAAGTTTGCAGTCATGGGCCAAAGGGTTGAAAGCTCATCTAGCCTCAATGACGCTTTGATGTGATGGAAAGCTCAGAAGATCATTTGGAAAAATGGAACGGTTTGTACAAAGACCCCTACCCTGTCGAGGGTTCACGGTTAGTCAGCTGATCTTAGGTCAAGCTGGTCCAGCGTGCAGCAATCCTGGTGGGCTTTGTTCACGCTGGCCAGGAGATAAAGCATTGAAAATGATGTAAATGATGCCCAAACAGATGCGGTCAAGTTGCGTCACGCCACTGTACCAGACGGTATGATATTTAAAGTTTAACACGCGCCGGGGTGGCCGGCTGGATACCCTCCGCTCGGGTAGGGTGGGGGGGGGGGGGGGTCAATTTGATCCACCCCCTGAGATCTCGAGAAATAAGGAAGCTAGAGACACAAAATTTACAGGGTGTGTTGATCTATGCGTGAACTCACTTAGGCCAAAGTTTGAGGCTCCTATGTTATGACCTCCGGGTCAAATAAGGTCAAACAAAGTCAAGTTCCAGGTTGATCCTAAAAAAGTGTCCCCAGAACCTAGATAACTGTTTCTAATGAAAAAGTCACATTCTCATTTAAGGTCAGTGACTTTGTTTGAACTTTTGAAGGTCATGGTGACCAAGATCATATAAGACTGCTCTGAGTTTTGCATTTGAATACGCGACTGAGATTACGCTAGGCAGTATGTTTCTAAAACAAAATATTGACCTAGGTCATTTTAAATCAATGACCTATTTTGACATCTAAGAACTCCATGGAAGATGTAGAAAATTTGAAATGAGCACCAGAAACTATCCCGTACAGCGAACCTTAGAGTAATAAATCAGGTTGGTTTTGACCTTGGTCTGACCTTCATATCTGACCTTATGGCAATGTAATTTGCCCATTCAATTGCTGTGTTTCCTAACAAAACACCTTAGAGATGTATGGCTTCGTCTAACACTCCGTTGTTGCATCAGATCGAACGATTCCCTAGAACTTGACTTCGCTGAAACCATGACCTAACTTTGACCTGCCATAGGTCAGTGACCTTACAAGGTACATCTAAACTTGTTGCACCAAAACGATTTGCTATTCAATTTTCTACAGCCATGCAAAGTTTGGCGCGGCTACGCCACGGCGTTCGGAAACCATTTTGGAAAAACCTTCGAGGGTCAATTTACCGCCCCCCCCCCCCCCCCACCCGACCTCGTGTTAAATGCCAGGAAAGGCATGGGCAGGGCATTCAAGCCTTGAAGTGCGAGGAGGTAACCACGGCGAGCTATGCGTGCTTCCAGAACTGCATCATTAAAGCGTTAAAACTGCGACATGAGGCGAAGGCGGAGGTGCTGGCTGCGGCTGGCGAATGGCGGTGGCTCGTTATTAGAATGGCATGTCCGGCGGTTGCTTTCTGTTTGGTTCTTCTTTTGGGAGACGTGGCCAGATCTAAGTCTTATAGCTTATGTGCCAGGCCTTTGTTTCTATTTATGCTATATCGTTTATCGCATTTGGAAATAAAATGAACCGAATAAACTATATGCACGGGGATATTGATACTAATCAACGTCAGATGCGACCCGAGATATGGGCATCACATTTGAACGAACGGTCTACTTCCTACAATCTTGGCATGTTCCCGTGACACTGCCAAGGGTGGGAATCGTACAGATAGTCTCTACATTCACAAATCACGCGAGGAAAGATAACAAAATGATCTCGGGTCAACGACTTCGATCTTAATCAACATCTTGACATGGTAGAACCGTCGCAAATCAGGACGTATGTCAAAAGATGCGTATAGTGTTGATCGGTCCCCGATGTGGGGCACGACGACACTACCTTTTAAAATGTGATGCACTTACTCAACGCCGGTCAGTTGCCTGACGCCAAGACGATACAAAACGGTTCTCATGGCATGTGGAAAGGATGAAAAAGGTAGTTAAATTGTTGTGGATCTACGTGTTCTCGGTTCTCGCACAACCGGATCTGCCAAGTATCGCCCAGTGGCTGCGCTGTCTCAAGACAACACCGCCAGCAAACAACAACAGACTAGCTGGAACTGGGTCGGTCTGCCGCGGCTATGTGAGGCGCGTCTCCGCTCGCGCTACTTCGTTCCCGGCGTCGAGTGTAGGCCGGCGGCGGCCTGCGGCCTCGTTTCGGCCGTTGACCCGACGTTGTCCTTCACCGCGGCTGCAGCGCGCCGGCCGGCGGGCGGTGGCCGCCCTCAGCCGCGGCGGCCGACGCAGCCGGCCGCCGTCAGCTGACGCCAGCGACGAGCGCCGGCCGCGCGCCCGCCGGCCGCGGCTCCCGTGACACCAGGCCGCCGGCCGCTGCTCGCTGACGGAGCGCGCGCATTCTCGTGGGTGTGCTGGACAGTTGAGGAGTGCGCCAGGCGTGCGCCGGTGTTCCGGCGCGGTGTTCGGCGCGGCGGGATCGGCGACGGTCGGCCAAATAGGCCGCAACGGCTCGTGGAGCGGTACGTACCGTGTGCACTGTCGGCCTGGTTCTCGCTCACGCCGACGGTTTTTCCGCTGACATACCCCGGCTGAGCTTGAACGAAATGCTCCTTGGAGCCAATTCACAGCGCTGTAAGTGACTTGTGAATGTTACTCGTGTAAAGGTAAGGGCAGAACTTATAGGGCAGCAAAAGTACCTGGCTTCGAACTACTGGCACGTTTATTGTCGGCATTGTGATGCTCCCTCCTCGCGTGAGATAGGTCAGGGCGGCGGACTGAGTGGCCCACATACCTAGATTTTGACGACAAACGTCGGCATAAGCGCCGGCACAAATAGGAGCACCCGACAGTCGTACAAGTTTGCTCGTTAGGAAGATTATCATCATCGGTTGCGTTGTGGCTGCTAGACTTCCTGGCGACTAGATATATGTCACCGAGCAGCGCCCGTCCGTGCGGCTGCCTCTCGGTTCGTGTCCGTTTATCTTCCTCGGATACAGCGGCCATTGACCTCCATGGGTCCGAGAAACCGGTATTTGGCTATAGCTACGTATACAATAGCGTTTTTGTGTTCGGTTGGGGTTCTGTTGTTGTCGTGGAAGCTCACTCTCAGGCGTTGTCTCCCGCAGGCGTCAAAAGCTGGGGGGATATCAAGGCGTTTAGTGGCGTTTCATTATCATGAATTATTATTCTGTGTGGAGCTGACTTCAGCAGGTCCTGGTTGCGGGGAAAAAGTAATTAATCCTTGGAATGTATAAACAGATTGCGCGACGTTTCTAGCAATAATAACTAGCACAAGTGCATAAGATCGAACACATCCAAAAACCTAAGGCCATTTGGACCAAACCAAGACAGGAAATGCTACGAAACTTAACTGAATCTGCCACATTTGAAGAACGTGATGAGTACTCAATACGTTACGCTCACACATTGTAATACCAGCAACCCGGTGTTGTAATCAGAGCTGCTGGAAACACAGAGGGCCAAGCCGAAATGGCTTGATGACCCATCCCAAATATATTGTGGCATTACTTACGAAGAACATCGATGCAGTCATTCAGGCTCCCAAACCCCAACAACCAGCGCACGCGGTACCGTGCTAAGGGGTGTTCCAAGCACAAGGCTGAGCCGAGAGTTTTCGACGTAATTCCGACACATGTAGCAACTTAGCTACATGGTATGCATTTGTACATGTACACGTGCATGTAAAAAATGGTGCATGCGTACACGATGCTGCCAGCCGGAACCAGAGGCGTCGTCTTCTGGAAGTTCTCGTTTTCTGAAGTTCAAAATTTGTTTATCTAATAACTACTGTCTGCTATTGGGACCAATGACCCAGTCATTACTTTTGCCACCCTATTTCTTCGCTCGAATCGAATTAAAACAAAGACGTGATCGTGGGTAAGTCATGTGTATTTGCATTGGATAAGGTTAGATGCATGCCAATCTGCAATACGACAGAATGATGTCGGCTGTCCCACGAATAATCCCTGCCCTGTTCAGCCCAAATTTAGTCCTGCCCGTCCAATTTCGAAAGCAACCTTTGGAGTTTTTTTGTAATTCCAAAAGTTTGGAGCACATGTAGCACTTTAAGCTAGAACACGTGCTGTGACGTGTGCCGACGGAACCGCGCCGTATCGGTCTTCCCGCGCGGCGAACTTCCAGCGAGGTCACTGCTTGGGCAACGCCGGGCGGACGGGACTTCCAGAGATTCCGTGCAGAGCAGCTCTACCGGGAACCAACAGACGACGTCCCAGCCCCCCCCCCCCCCCCCCTCCCTGGCCGAAGGCGCGCAGACCAGTTTGGCGTGGCGGCCATGATCATGATTTCGTCATTTCTACGTCATCACGTCTGCAGCGAGTAACTAGAGGAATTCAGTGCTCTCCGTGTTACTTAAGCATACATGATAGCAACATGTTAGGAGTCCAGTAGAACACGTCTCTCTGGAGCGTATTCGACGTTGGATGGAGGTTGTTTGGGGTTTCCGACAAATACTGCGCAGGTCCGCTAGGCTCGATGCAACGACACAAGATCATGCCGAGATCGGGCCAGCGATGGAAAATTTTCTGACCCCAGTAATGACGGTGAATCTGGCAAAGATCACGCTGAATCCTCAACGCTGCAATCTGGCAAAAATATTTCACATGCTTCACATCGGTCTATTAGCAGCCGAGTGCAGTTCTTCTAAAAAATCCTAATTTCTTTTTGTTAATTTGGTATATCTTGTCTCACACTTTTGCCACCAGAGGCTACTAACCGCGAAAGTCATTGCAATGCACAATGATGGACTCACCAATAAAGTCCTTCCATCATGCTGCTTCGCTTATTGAGCGGCGACGTCAATGTCATTCCTAACAGCTGTACTTTTTAAGCAAAGTCAGTGCGGAACAGCTGAACAATTTGACTTGCTGCGATGGGAGCGTGACCACACCGCGCCCTGGAGGTACGTAGAAGCGTGCGCAGTATGTGTCGATACCGTCGCTGCTTGTACCGGTCTCACACTAGACCCATGTTAAAGTCAAAACTATGAACAATATCGCAACGTGAGGGACGACCAGGTAACATAAAGAAGAGCTCTAATAAACGGTTTAAATGCGTCAATGAGGGGACTATTTCGGCCTTGACATTTTGTTCACAGCCTGAAACTAAGTCTTGACGTATGGATAAGACGTGACCCGCATCAGAAGCATCACCGCCGTGTTTTCTTCATCCATAGGGCCTAATTTTGGCCAAAATGCCAAATTGTATGCAGTTGTTGCTGCATAAAGACAAAACTAGAAATACAACACAAAGAAAATGCCACAAACACGACAATTCCACGTCATCGCACACCTCTGCGTCATTGATTCAGAAATGGTTCTTTGGTTAGGCAAATTCCCTTGAACCTGAGAAGTGAAATAAAAAAGTTAGAGCTCTAAACTGCTAACTTTCGGGCTGCCATCTCGTGTCTCAGCTAGTAAGTCACCTGACACTCGGCCAATGCGCCAAAGATGTGTGCGTCGTGTGCCAAACAACTTACGTGCGCCATCGCGGAAGGCCAACCGGCAAACTGCCAAAGCCGTCGGGCTGGCGCGGGGCTGCCATGTTGTGATGCTATATGGCAAGGTCTAGCTGGGTTCAAGAGTAGAACAGGGTAAATTTGTCCATTCAGCTAGATTTTGTTCACTGTGTTCACCACAGATGGACGCATGAAATGAAAAAAATACATTTACATTTATCGTACCTTCCGTAAATTTACCATGTACCGTAAATACGTACCTTCATATTTCAGATTTACGCGAAGTTTGTATCGCATTTCACCGCACACGCATTTTTTCGTTTCGTAATTCGTAGCATCGCCTTTCCTTGCACACACATTTGTTTGCATCGCATTACTTCGCATACGCTTTTCCTCGCTTCGCATTTTTACATGTGCACCGTTTGTTGTGTCATATTTCTTCTTACTGTTTTTCGTGATGCAAAATTTTCTTCGCATCGCTTTTTCGAGCACACAGTCTTTCGACGAAGTACCTGTTATTGAGAGCAGAAACGTTGGTGACGGGTGAGCGTGTACTTATTGGACGACGTACACCACTAATCTGCTCGCAACATATAGCTTGAGCGTCTACTTTTCGAGACTCCGTATAGTGTGCATGCGTACCAACAAACAGAAAATGTTGAATATGGCGAATTCATCTAAACAAGTTGTCGGAGACTCGGTAGAAAACTTTGTGTGAATAAATCCCAATCAGTCCAAGTCAAGTAAGCGTATCGTTTAAATCACATCAGAGTACGACTAGATAGATCGACGATTTACGATGCCTTGACCAAACGACAGATCATTAGTGATGTGGAGTGCAGAAACGGGAGCAAATCGCGCGTGTCGACGATCTAGACGACCGAAGGATTGGGACGTGACTTAATCCATGTCGCCAAGCACACAGTTTGGTGTTATCCTTCACCTGGTCCGCAGATTCGCGTCAGGGGATTAGTGATACGGAAGGTGTACGGGGCGACTGCGCGGCTGCGTGCGACAATCTCCTGACGTGCCGTATTCGACTGGTAATGCCTGTTATTTGATGAGGGATTCTGCGCGGCAGGATGAGAGGAGGAGAATGCGTGCGGGCTGCGGTGCAGCATGGTGCAGCAGAAATGAAATGATCGTGTTCACCACATGTGCAGCATCCCACAAGGCTCGCACATTTCAGATTTTCTCACTAAACCATTGGGTACATTCCAGTGTCGTCATTGCTCGTTTGTTATAACTCTTCATTCCGTTCCATCCAGGATTCCAACCTGGTTTGTTCTCGTTATCCTTTCCCTCTGTTCTTTAGTCATACCTTACCTTAGCTTAGCTTACTCCCTGTAAGTAGCTTACTGTTCTGTCCGTTAGTCATACCTTTCCTTAGCTTAGCTTACTCCCTGTAAGTAGCATACCTGGAAGTCGTTCATCCCCCAACATGTGTGCTATGATGTGCAGAACCGATATCGTGGCTGTTATATTTGGGCTCTAGTTGATGCAGCTCTCACTTCGTCTTGAAATGAAAGGCATTTTTCTGAACTGCATTTTTGAAAGCACTTTTCAAATGGACTGCATTTTTGAAAGCACGTAAAGGTCTCGCTGTCAGGTTTGGAACACTCCAGCCGCCATGTGAACGCCATGCGGCGGCAGCCACATCAGCATCGATCGCTGGCGAGGTGGAACAGCGCTGCCGCCGGCCATTCCCTCCCCTCGTTCGCCTCGCGTGTGCCGCGCGTCCCCCTCGTCCCCTTTGTGCGAGTGGCACGGCATGTGCGGTGGCCGGACTTCCGCGGCCGGCGCCGCCGCCATCGCCGGCGACATGACCGTGACTTCCCATCAGGCGCCGTGCGGTGAGATCTGACGACGTGTCATCATCCAGGCGGCAAGCGCGCCCGGTGATAGCCCGGTAGTGACGTCACCCGAGTGGCAGACGCCGGCGGTTTTTGCCGGCCGACCTTGACTTTGAGCTTGCTGCGGCGCGGGCGGCTGGCCGCGGACGGCAGTAAACACGCCGCGGCGGCGGGTGCACCGCGGCCGCTCGTGACAGAACGGCGCACGCTCGCCGCGGTGTACCCCGCCACCCCGCGGCACCGAAATAGAGCGCGCTCGACCGCCCTGACGGCGGCGGGAGGGGTGCGGCGCGACCCCGCCCAGGACGCTGACGCCGGCGGACGGCGGCGCGAGCAGATCGCCCGGCGCCAGCAGGTGAGCGGCCAGCTTCAGTACGGCTTCCGGCCGGCCGTGAACCGGCCGCCGCGGTTCGGGCGGGCGTGTTTGGGTGCAGACGGGATAAATGGGCGAACAGTGTGCAGAGTGCGGACGAGTGCCTACGTGTGGAGTTCGAATGGAGTGAAATGTGGAGGGTGGGTGGTGTGTTGACTGGAGAGTTCATGCCAAAATCCCCTGGTCTTTTCATTTGTCGTGGTTGTTGTCATAATGCATCGATTTTACATTCTGCGCATTTCGTCGCATGTCGTCATTGGGGATTTACGACGCACCCAGCTGCTGAGACTATATGGCGTCGCCTGCTTCTCACCCTGGCAGGAAATGCGGGCACCGCGAGGAATCAAACCCTGTACCTCTGGTATCTCAGATGCGCAGTGGTTAACACAGACGTGTTAAGCTGGATAACTACCAAAGTTAAAAGCTAACGAGCGAAGCTGCGTTACATCATTTAGAAATTTAGGTTCCTGACACCACCTATGGGCGGTAATGTACCTACAAAACGCGTTCATTTCACTTCCGTCAACTTGAAGCGCACTTGCCCGCAAGCGGCCGGGAGCGCACGGAGCCGTACCACGCTTAAGGACGGCGTGGGCGCCGAGCCGCCGGTCACCGTCACGCGGCGATATATCTGGCTCGTTTGACGCACGCAATCCCCGAGCGGGCGGCTGTAGCGCAGTGTTCAGCGGCGATGTATCTGGTTCGTTTGACGCACGCAATCCCCGAGCGGGCGGCTCTAGCGCAGTGTTCAGCGGCGATGTATCTGGCTCGTCTGACGCACGCAATCCCCGAGCGGGCGGCTCTAGCGCAGTGTTCAGCGGCGATGTACTGGCTCGTCTGACGCACGCAATCCCCGAGCGGGCGGCTCTAGCGCAGTGTTCAGCGGCGATGTACCTGGCTCGTCTGACGCACGCGATCCCCGAGCGGGCGGCTCTAGCGCAGTGTTCAGCGGCGATGTATCTGGTTCGTCTGACGCACGCGATCCCCGAGCGGGCGGCTCTAGCGCAGTGTTCAGCGGCGATGTATCTAGCTCGTCTGACGCACGCAATCCCCGAGCGGGCGGCTGTTGCGCAGTGTTCAGCAGCGATATACCTGGCTCGTTTGACGCACGCAATCCCCGAGCGGGCGGCTCTAGCGCAGTGTTCAGCGGCGATGTATCTGGTTCGTCTGACGCACGCAGTCCCCGAGCGGGCGGCTCTAGCGCAGTGTTCAGCGGCGATGTATCTGGTTCGTCCGACGCACGCAATCCCCAAGCGGGCGGCTCTAGCGCAGTGTTCAGCGGCGATATACCTGGCTCGTTTGACGCACGCAATCCCCGAGCGGGCGGCTCTAGCGCAGTGTTCAGCGGCGATGTATCTGGTTCGTCTGACGCACGCAGTCCCCGAGCGGGCGGCTCTAGCGCAGTGTTCAGCGGCGATATACCTGGTTCGTCTGACGCACGCAATCCCCGAGCGGGCGGCTCTAGCGCAGTGTTCAGCGGCGATGTATCTGGTTCGTCTGACGCACACAATCCCCGAGCGGGCGGCTCTAGCGCGGTATTCAGCGTGAGATGATGAAATGCTGGGTAATCGTAATCCGTCACATCCACGCAGGGCTCACTGGTACGCCCGTCAACAGGTTCGGTATCAGCGCTTTCATCCTATTTCCTCCGAGCAGTACCGGTATCGGTATCCTATTTACGCCGTGATTCCATACCCGCCCGCTTGGTGCTGACTGCGGGTAGGTCGACGCCAGGTAAAGAGCGTCGTGTTGCGCGAGATGAGCGCGGGTTAACAGGCGCGAGGTTTAAACAATTAGTCCCGTGCGTGGAGACTAAAACCCATGCCAGATAAGGTAAGACACCTTTGGGAACTTTACCCGATGGGTCTGATCAATGTTCACGTTGGAAATCACAAATCACGTTGCCTGAAAACTCACTGGCGGCTGGTCCAGCCAGAGCAGGTAACTTAACTTGACGAAATCAATGACTTGGTGATTATTCGTGTCGTTCTTGACTGTCCGCAGTATTACGAAGTGTGGAAAATGCCGGGTGGGTACTGATCGAACTAGTACCGTACTTGAATATACGCCCGTTTAGTTTTTATGGTCCAATCAAGGTGCGTACGCACATGGTGCCGCGAGGACACGTCCCCTACCCGGCCTTATCAAATTCATGGCATATATTTATATGTGTGACTCAACGTGGACAGTTGACAATACTTCACGTAGTCAGTTAAAATCCGGGTACACAAGTAAACGTATGTCGAAACAAATAATTTGATTTTACGACAAGCAGGCGCGAACGCGGCGCGTTATACTAGGTTTTCAGAAAGACACTGAGTTGTGTCCTCCCTATTGTGAAGTCCCGCGTACGCCCCAGGCCCAGTATCGTCCAGTCAAGACCGCAGCATGCTGTTTTGAGACCAGTTTTGAGAACTGTGTCAGTGGCCACTTCCAGATCGACTACTGGGCAGGACAGCGTTACGATTCGGATAGTGTCAGGATCGCCCAATGATCTATATCCACGCCGTGCAATTTGTTTCACGTATTTATCTGATCTGGTGGCGAAAATCTAATGCAAATCCATGGAACTGCCCCACCGCGGACGGACCCATCGTTGGCACCCGAGCGCGCGCGACCGGCTGCGGGCACTGACCCGCGCTTTGGCCAGGAGGATTGTCTACCCTGTCTTCCATCAAATGTGTTTATCCATTTCCAGTCCGAAGCACGGTCTTTGGGGACCTGGGCCCGGTTTCGAACCGTGATGTGCTGCCTTTTCACAGTTGTGTGCCTCGCGCTTCAACGTCGACGTTTCGCGTTGTATGTTTCTCGTTTTCCTCCTTAATCAAGCGGAAAGGCTATGCGTATACAAGATTGTAGTAATGCAAGAACACGAGTCCGATCGAACAGGATCCACACGATGCTCGCACAAGAAGTTGAATGGAAAATCGAACAATGAAGTTACATCGGAAAACGTCGAGGGACAAAAAGTCACAAAAAGCTGACAGGGAAAAAGGTCAAATCGCAAAGACGTCCAAAGGGATAACATTTGAAGGGGATAAAAGATTGGAAGGCGCTACACCAACAAAAACCAAAACACCAGTGGGAACACAACCACAGCCTGGCGTTTCTTAAAGAACTGGTGGGAACCAGGGAACCAAGGACTTGTGTTTGTGGAAAATTGGTGGAAACCGGAAGCTAGATGCTGGCGTTCGTGTAGGAACCATTGGGAACCAGGGACCCATATTTTTGCACAAGAATCAGTGAGGACCAGGAACCACGGTGCTGTTTGCAAAACAGCCTGTAGGATCCAAGAACCAGGGGGTGGGGCTATGAAATAACCAGCCGGAATGAAGGATCCAAGAGGGTCCGCTCCGCATGGTTCGGCCGTAAAGGCTCGAAGACTCGCTTCCTGCGAGGAGCGTTTGCTGGGTGAACGCGGCCGTGTCGAAATTAGATGGCTCGGGGTGCGAGATGGTGAAACCCATTACATTCGCGGGCACATCAGGGAGCAGCCGCCAACATTCGCTTTCATGCCAGGTCCAAATCATCAAGACTGCCCTGTCTTAAATTCACTCCACTTCCTTCTTGCTTACTGTTATCCAAATGCATTTTAATTAGTTTCGAATATTTGTTTGTTAAATTGCTTTGTTATCTGACCTCTATCCCTGTCGGCTTTTATCTCTTGCCATTTTTTTCTGATTCGGACTTCTGTCCCTGTCAACTTTTATCCATTCTTACTCTTTGTCCTTTGATTTTTGTCCTTCCGACTTTTTCCTCTTTGACTTTGATCCCTGTCAACTTCTTTCGTTCGCCTTTTTTCTTTTTCGCTCACCCTTTTTCGATGGACTTTTTTCGCTCGACGTTTCCTTATTTGCCCACTGAAATCTACTTTCTTCAGCAGATCTGCTACACCAACTGGACGCGTGAGCTAACGTCGCCCGTGCAAGGTGGTGCGGCTCGGACCCCGCCGCCGCCCTGCCGCCCGTCCGCTCGCCATGGCCGATCTGCTCAACATGGACCCCATGGCGGAGGCCTGGCTGCTGCCGACCCAGATGCTGATCGCCATCAACAGCAACGACCAGTCGCGCGCGGCGCAGGCGCTGGAGGAGGGCCTCGACTGCGACCACCGCTTCAACTGCGGCTCCAAGTTCCAGCCGGCGCTCAGTCTGTGCATCGAGCGCGGCCGAACGGAGATCGGTGAGTGGCGCGCCTGGCTGCTCCGGCCCTCGCTGGGCGCGGCCAGGGCGTGGGCGGGCCCGGGCGCGGTCCACGTGGTCTCAGGCCGGTGCAAACAGTGCCCTGCCTGGTTAGACGGGGAGGGGGAGGGGAGGGGAATACAGGTGGTCTGAGGTAGGGAGAAAACAGGCTGCCTGGTCCGAGAGTGAGGGAAGGAGCAGGTGGTCTGAAATGGAACAAACCTGCCGCCAGGCCGGATGCTAAGAGTGGGGAGGGGGGGGGGGCTGAATCAGGTCAGACAGGTAACGATGGGGGGAGACTGTCTGGAGCAGGCGAGGCAGCAGTCTGGCCGGGCAGTGTGTGGGGGAGGTGGTCTAGTGCTTTTTCTGGCAGAATGCGGACAGGCTAGGCGTCCCAAACTCATTCGATTGGAAAGCCGCTTCAATTCAATTAACAGACGTGCTCCTTGCAAGGGTGTAGGGCCTGTCCGTTCGCCAGCAAGGAAGTATTGCTACTACATTAACTTATTCAAACCCAGATGCCTACAGAAATGACTGTGCATGAGCGTTTTGGGGTGAAAGTTACTTCTGCCAGGTGTAACCAGTGACTGAGGGTTGCTAATGCCGTCATTCAGTTCGACATCAGTTATCAGTTGGCTACTGCTTTCATACTCTGCTGGCTCTTGCGAGATGGTCTACAGATCCAACTACCGGACTGTGCACGGAACCGCCGCAGTATGACCATTTGTGGGTAGAGCCGGGTGGGCTCTCTGATTGTCCCCTGTATCCCGCAATGCAGCGGCTGATCTGGCCGTCTGCCGGTGGAGCAGGCCGGACCGTCTGACGCGTCTCTGCCCCGCAGTGCAGCTGCTGATCTGACCGTCTGCCGGTGAACCAGGCCGGACCGTCTGACGCGCCTCTGCCCCGCAGTGCAGCTGCTGATCTCCCGCGGCTGCTCGGTCAGCCAGCCGGACTCAGGCGGCTCGAGCCCGCTGCACAGCGCCGCCTACAGCCAGCGCGTCGGCGTGACGCGGCTGCTCCTTCGTCACGGCGCCAGCCCCAACACGCGTGACGCCTTCACGCGCACGCCGCTGCACGTGGCGGCCGAAAACGGCTCGTTGGGTGAGCGCGCCGACGGCCGGCGGCTGTGGGGAATGGCTGGGAGCTGCCGTCGGCGTCGAAGTACTTGTGGGGTTGTTTTGCGGATAGTCGTTTAGGCGGACCGCGGGACGCGGAGTAGCAAAGAGCGCTACAATCAACCGGTGTAAACGTTTCAAACGGACTTTATTTGAACACGTATTTGTTTGCCCGCTCAAAACCAGGCGATAAGGGACGAGTTCTCACGGATAACGATGTTGTGTGAAAACTTAACGTGGTAGGGATGTGTGGTAACACCAGTTGTCCATGGAGTGTCGTCGCAGCGAGGTTGCCCTTGTTGGCTATCGCGGCTCTGTAAAGTCAGCTGACACACCCTGGTACCGTAAATGTACCAGCCTCGGTACTGAGCAGGACCAACGGGAGAACCCAAGCCCGAAGCAGCAGCAGCTTTGTAAAGTTGAAGCGGGGTACCAAATATTTCAAAGCGGTCAGATCCATCAGACACGATTTACTCATCTCTTTTTTCTAAAATGGGGAGGGAATAGTGAGGCGGCCATGCGACCATGCGACTGCTTTCAGCAGTTTTTCAATCCCGGCAATGTGATTAGGGAATATAGCCATCGTTCGACTTTGCCCTCGACCGTAACACCATGACCCAAAGCAATATCTTGAAATCGAAATTCTGACTTATTTAGAAAGATCTCGAGACAGCTTGCATTGGCCACGAAATCGGACAAGTCTGATCTAACGATAATTGAAAAGAACAAAAAGGTGGCCTGCTCTCTTTAAATAATCACGACAGTGGCTTGCCACGGGGCCGTAGGGAACACAACAGGATCCTTCGCCCAAAAAGTCCCCCAAATTGTAAAAACAAGACACGTGTTGTGACGCAAGTCCCTAGCCACAGTGTCATGCGGCAATTTGGTTGGCATCTTTCAATTGTCTGTTCTGTGATCGATCATAATCTTTCAACCTTACATCTTTTAATCTCTGATCAGCTGTTCCACATTTGAAATGCGATCCAAATGATGCGCAAGTTATATTGTTGCTACCTAGTATCGTTTTCAGTATTTGCTTAAGTTGTCGCGGTGCATCTCACCTGTCATTCACGTGTACGCTGACACCTATTTACGCGCACCGTGGGGACCTTCAATATGGCAATAGACCTCCATAGGTGGCACCACTCTCTCCATAAGCCTCCTTCCCGAACCGCCGGCGTTCGTGTGGCTGTTATGCGGATACAGAGTGGCTGGCGGCGCCGCGCCGCGCCGCGCCGCGCCGCGCTGCCCGCTGCCCGCTGCCCGCTGACCGTCCGTCGCTCGGCAGAGATCGTGCGGCTGCTGGTGCAGGCGCGGGCCGAGGTCTGCTGGCCGGACGGCGCCGGCCGCACGGCGCTCATGCTGGCCTGCGCCGGCGGCCACGGCGAAGCGGCGCTGCTGCTGCTGCGCCACGGCGCCGAGGCGCGCACACTGTCGCGCGCCGGCGAGTCGGCCCTCCACCTGCTCTGCGCCTGGCCGGACGACGACCTCGACTGGCTGGCGCACGAGCTGGTGCTGGACGGCGCGTCGCTGGAGGCGCGCACGGGCGCCGCCGGCTGCACGCCGCTGCACCTGGCGCTGCTCTCCGGCCTGCGGCGCACGGCGGCTGTGCTGCTGCGCGCCGGCGCCGACCCGCGCTCGCTCACGACGCGCGGCCAGAGCGCGCTGCAGCTGGCGGCGGCCGGCGGACACGCCGACCTGGTACGCCTGCTGCTGGTGCACGGCGCGGCACCCGGTGCCGCTGACGTGCTCGGTCGTACGCCGCTGTTCGAGGCGGCGCGCGCCAACGCCAGCGCTGCGCTCGATTTGCTGCTGGCGGCCGGCGCGCGGCCCGAGCGGCAGCCTCTGTTCACCTGTGAGCGGCTGTGGGCGGCGATAGGCGAAGGCGAGGTGCGCCGCCGGCTGGCGGAGGCGGCGCGCTCGGTGCTGCCGCTGCGCGCGCTCTGCCGCAGCGCGCTGCTCCGGCTGCCGCTGCCAGACGCCGAGCGCACCATCGAGCGGCTGCCACTGCCGCCGCGGATCAAGGGCTACCTCCTGTTCGCCGAGTAGTCGAGCCGTGCCGGCGCTCGGGCGGTAGCGCAGACAGCGCGGCAGGCCGCAGATGAGGCTGCCACCGTCCGAGGAAAGTCTCAGCGTTGTACTGGCAGTGTAACTTTGATCTGTGCGGTGTGCGTTGCGTGGCATTCGTACGGAATGCTTGCATCTTTGTACGTCTTCCATGGCATAAGGATTTACGTCATTGGTAGCATTTTGCCGGCATTAGAACCGTCGGCGGTCTCAGTGCTCAGGCGGAATTTGATTGTGTTTTGTTGTAGATAAGTCTTTCGTATGGGTTTTGTGATCAGCCTCGCCACGAGGTGGACCAGATTTTTAGTTTGTTGCTTAAAACCTCTATTACCGGACACAAAGCTACGTGCTTCGATCAGCTCAGTCATGGGACGTTCCTCTTGGTGACACCGGAAAATCAGAGGCCGAACGAAGTACACGAAGCTTATCAGTTAAGTTCCATATAGCTGTCTCCATTTTGCGCTGTTTGTGCCGTTCTACCGAATCTGGACCCCACGAAACATTCAGGTGGTTTGGTTTTGGATCCTTGACCACGTCTGCGCGGTATGGTGTGCATATTCACGGTTTTTTTTAAAAATACACTTATAGGGTAGTTACTCTGACCAACACTTTATGCGCACTATATCAATGATTATAGAACTGCACAAAACTGATCTAGGGACATTATGTACTCTCTAGCTATTTAAACATTCGTTTTACCAGTATATGAATAACTGCTGAAAGGAGCGGCCAAGACAACGTAGGAGTGGACGGATTAAGAGTTGAGTCACTTGGATTAATTAACTACCCAAGAATCGTCAATAACTTTAAGGTCAATGTGATGAAAATGCATAACTTCACGCAATTTGTGTGGCTCCGAATGACCCAATTTCACCAATTAAGGATGTCTTCGATCTCAGGATGCCGAACGGCATCAAATGGTGTTTAGTGATCAAGGTTGAAAGAAAAAGTTGAAAGAGCCGCCCTACAAGCCGCTCCCCGGCGGTAGTGTGTGATTATATTCAGGCTCGGTGAGAGGCGCGGAACGCTTCATGTCGGGGGTTCGATGGTGTTGAACCTTACACTTCACAGAGCAGTGCATTGCAAAAATCTGTGGTGACTGGTGCATGGATAGCCACCGTGCTGTGTGTGCGCTCAAAGGTGGCAAATAGGAGGAAGACATAAGATATAATCCAAGAGATTGTCAGCTCAACACAGCTGCAATAATAAGCCAGCTCATTTATAGTTCAATATATTCTACAACCTCAATATTGTTCTGAATTTTGTTTTCTGATGTGTATTGACTCCGGCATTCGGTGCTAACGAGATCAAGAAGTCTCAATACATTGTAGTCGTGTCTTCAAGTACATTACAGTACTTAAAGCATGTCAGTACGTCAAGAAAATTAACAAAAAGTCAAGAACATGCGGATGGTCATTGCCTGGAAAACCTTTTAGTGACAGCGCCACGCTGTATATTTAACTGAAAGCCGACAACGGCACCGTTGATGTAAGGGACGAGGGCGTTTTAAATGTAGATAATTAGATGTAAGCTTTGTGTGTCCAATTTGGAGGCGTGTTCATTCTTTTTCTTTCAAACGGTCTGGACGGTTTACTGATGCCCAAGGTGTAATTTATGGATTTATCTTATGAAGCTGTGTCCTGACGTTTTCCGTCCACTGACGTTGCAAAGCTTGTTTTGCCAGCTTGTGAACGAACATTTTTATTGTGGTATGGTCAACGGGAATTGATGTTATGTCAGGGAACAGCAGTGCTTCCTTGGCCAATTCTTCAGCTTATTTATTCGCCGTGATACCCCGATGGCCTGGCAACCACAAAAATGAATGATTATGTCTTGTGTGAGTAAAGAATGATGAAGGTTAATGATATCGATAAGGAGGTGGTGCGTTTAGTCGGGAGCAATAACTGATACCAGGACCGCCTTTAAATCCGAGCAGATTACTATGGGTTAGGTCCTATGATTTTGCCCTTTGATGTGTTGGAAAGAAAGAAATAGGGCAGTTAGTTCAGCAAGATTCACTGATTTTTCATCCGGTAATCTGCATTTTTGTGAATAGTGTGTGTGGCAGAGTAAGACACATTCGGTGTCATTAGTCGTGGAGGCATCGGTTTAAATGAGGTGACGGTGCGAATATTTTGCGACCATGTGATTGAACTTTTGTTAAGCATAAGCTGTCGCCACGATGCTTTTAAGATCAGTAAAAAAAGAACAGTCTAGGTGAGAGCTACGGGCGGGCATTACTAATTCAGGGGGCATGGAGGCTTAAGGCCCGTGTGACGTACTGTTGGCCCAACGTATGTGAGGATAAGTTGTATAATGTATGTGTGGAAGCATATGTTGGGTGACTGAAGTGTGTGACGAAGGTGCGACAAAATCCCAAAGTGTGTTTAATACGTGAGAGGGCTAGGCGCATAATGAACGCATCAACCTCAAATGCTAAAATTGGGGATGTGCGCAGTGCTGCTTGCGCAAGACATAAGGACATATTTTGAATAACAGTTACGGACTTTAGACCGCCTTCCGTGCCAGCCGTATACACCACGGATCCATATTCAATAAAAGGTAGAACCAAAGATTTATATAATAACAATAGCAATTGTGGCCGTCGAGATGGAAAGAATATTGTGGTGTATCTCGTGGCTTTTTTCTGAAAACGATAACGGCCGATTTTGTAGTGGGTAAACGGAGACCATGACTTAACTTGTGAGGAACGTCTTGGAGGAGTGGTAATGAGTGTTCAGATTCTACATCTGAGTACCAAATCGCGCTATCATCTACGCAAAAAGACAAGGCTATGTCTGAAGAGGGATCATCAAACAAGTGATCTATCATTAGGTTGAGAAAACTGGAGATAAAGAGTTGCCTTGTTGAAAACCATTCTCTTGAACGTGAACATTAGAGACAGCCGGTTGGCATCTTACATGGAACGGCCGCGTTCCCGAGAGGAATCCCACGAGATAGCATGTCAAATGCCCCCTAAATTCTAACCTATGAAGTTTGAAAATACACAGGCTTATGTACCATGTCAAAAGCGCGACTTATTTCTAAAAACACAGCAATGACTTGACGTTTTTAGTGATATGTGGAACGAATGTCTATTCGAGACGAATAACATAACAAGTGGTTGCATCAAGAGTGCTGATCCATGAGTTTTTAACTATCTAGTGTTCAGGCAAGTCGTTTGGCAACCATGCGTTCCAAAAGCCTTCCTAGGCAGCTGGTGCGTGTAGTGGAACGATAGTTGGTTGGATTGTGCGCGTTCTTGCTTTAACATCAGTTGCAGCACACTGTCAGGTAAGTGACGGAAAAAAGCGCAGTGTAGTTCGTCCTGACCTTCTGAAGTGTTAACGGTGGAGTAACTTGCATCTCAGAGTTCTGGGAAGGAAAATGGCATGTGACAATCCTCTGTATTGTCAGAAAGAAAGCAATGAGGGCTTGCATAAAAATGGTGCCGCGCTTGATCGATGAAGCCTGTCTCGTAGTCATCTGAAAAACTACAATTGGGCGAGCCTCCATAACTTGTGGAGATGACGTAACTTACGTATTGCTAACTCGGAAAGCTGGAAGGGAACAGGACGGCCGCTTGCCAAAATTTCCATAAATTTGAAATTTCAAGCTAAAAAATTAGTCAAGTTCAAGACAAAAAGTTCGGAGCGGCTGCTGTAAATTGTCGTAGACCGTTTAGCCAGGGCAACGCTTGGCGTCTCTTATGATTTTGCTGGCTCGAGTGCGTTCAGAGCTGCGAGCGACTTAATAAGGAGCATCGTGATTGCGTTGATAACTGCGAAAAGCACGTTTACATTTCACGACGGCTCTCTTAAGTTCATCTGTCCACCATGGCATGAGGAGCGTCGTGGCGGAGGTTCCGGCAGTGGAAATGATCGCTGCAAAATGAAGAATATGTGTGATAAGACCAACACCCTGCTCTGATGAGTTGCTGATCGTGGTTGGCTGAACAGAGTTCCTGACATTTGTCCCAGTCTGCTTTCCGCAGATTCCAATGAGGTATATATGGCGGAACTGCATCAGCACCGGGATCAAAAGCGGTATGTCGTTTTGTTGGAACATTGTCACTGTCGTGGACATCTCCCTCAACAGTCCAGTGAAAGGAAGTTCCCACTGAGGGAGAGCACAGAGACAAGTCAATGGCTGTTTCCGTAACAGTGGGTAAGTGGTGATGCGGTATTATGTCCTTTGTTTAGCGAGGATGAATTATTAGCGTCAACAAAATCTTCACCCAAACGTATTCGGCGATTGACAGTCGGAGTACCGTTACTCCAAGCTGGGCTGTGATTGTTGGAATCGCCGAGGGCGAGAAAAGAGTTGCGAAATTGCGTAGCACGTTAGTGAGGTTGGCGTTAATGTGATGATTTATTAATGTATGAAGAGCTTGTTTCGATGGTGCGGTCATGCAGCCGTAGAGAACATGCAACAGCCTGGAGAGGTGTGGAAACAGTGAGTGGCGTGTGCGTCAACTTATGTCTAATGTGCAGCGCCCCCCCCCCCCCCCCCCCCCCCACCTTGGCGACGATCAGCGTCTGTGTTGTCACGGCGATATATGGAATAATTCGGCATTTAAAGATAAATGGGTGGGTGGAACGATACCAAATTTCCTGTAGGGCGATAACGACTGGAGCTTATGCTGCAAAAATCGCTTTTACTTCAGACGAAATTGAAATGAAACCGCGACAATTCCGCTGTGAGACAAAAGACATTTCATGGATATTTCAAGACATTGAAAGACCTAAATTAACATACTTATACCCACCGGTTGGTGGGAATTGGCCAAACGGGACAGACTGAGGCCGTCCCATCACCGCCTTCGCTGGCGGAAGGGACCGGCGGTCTTTGTTCGAGCGTGTTACGGCAGGTGCTGTGCGGGGGGAGGGGGTGGTGGAAGGGGCCGTTCGTTTGGCGGCCAGAGGGAGCCGGCTGCCGACCACTCGAAGCCGGAGGGCTGGAACGCCGGCCGGCATGGAGAC